GCAGTAAACACCACCTACAGTGATATAATAACAGAAGTTGCTGGAAAAAGCTTAGCAGGTCTGCTGGCAGCATTGGTGAAGAGAAATCAGAGTTAATATTTTGGGTCCAGTGACCCTTTCTCAACTGATGGTAGCTAGGAAAATGTCAGTTTATATGCAGAAAATAGAGTGGTGGTGGTGGGGGGAGGCGGGAGGGTGTAAGGAGTAAATGATTGGTAGAGGTAGAGCCAAAGAGAGACAGAAGAACAGTTGGATAGACAAAGGAGTGGATAACAATCTGGCAAGGAAAGTGAACAGCTGTTAATTGAGACTGTTAGTGGCTAACAATACGTAACGTGTAATGGCAGACTTTGTGATAACAAGGCCTGGTGTTCTGAGGAAGGGTCACCGGACCCAAAACGTTAACTCTGTTTTTTCCTTCACAGATGCTGCCAGACCTGCTGAGCTTTTCCAGCAACTTTGTTTTTGTTCCTGGTGTGTGGGTTGGGGGCCTAGGACATGGGAGAGTTCAGGCCCTAAAATTATTGAACTCAATATCAAGTCCAGAGGGCTGCAGGGACTCCGAGCAGAAAATGAGGTTTTGTTCTTCCAGCTTGTGCTGCGCTTCGCTGGAACACTACAGCAAGCCTGGGACAGAGACGTTGGCAAGGGAACATGATGGTGTGTTAAAGTGGCAGGCAACTGGAAACTCAGGATCCTTTTTTGCAAGCAGAATGTAGATGTTCTGCAAAGCAGTCATCCAGTCTACGCTTCATTTCCCCAATGTAGAGGGGACCACATTGTGGGCAGCGAATGCGGTAGACTAGATTGTGGGAAGTGCTGTTTCACCTGGAAGGTACATTTGGGCACTTGGATACTGAGGAGGGAGGAGGTAAATGGGCAGGTGTTACACCTTCGGCAGTTGCAGGGAAGGTACCTTAGGGCAATGGGAGGGTGTTGGGAGTGAAGGAAGAGTGGACCAGGGTGCCCAGGAGGGGAAGGCAAACAAGAGAGCGGAGGGGATGTATCTGGTGGTGACATCTCTCTGGAGGTGGCGGAAATGGCAGCTGATCTTCTGGATGTGGATGCTGGTGGGATGGTAGGTAAGGACAAAGGGAACCCTATCACTGTTGCGGGAAGGAAGTGAGGGGATGAGGGCAGAAGTGCAGGAGATGGGTCACGCCCTTTTGAGAACCCTGTCGTCAATGGTGCTGGGGAATCCTCAGTTGAGGAAGAAGGTGGACATTTTGGAGGCTCCCTTGTCAAAGTTGACCTCATCGGAACATATGCGATGGAAATGGAGGAACTGGGAGAATGGAGTCTTCAGTAAATTCAATATTCACCAGTCTCTGAGGTAGTGAATCCCATAGATTCATGACTATTTGAGAAGTAATTCTTTCTCATGTATGTCTGAAATCTGTCATTCCTTAGCCTGAAATTGACCCCTCGTTCTGGATTGTTCCATAAGTGAAACATCCTCTCTGTGTCTACTTTGGTAGACCCCTTTAGCGTATAATGTACCTCAATTAAACCTCCTCTCATTCTTCTAAACTCTAGTGAGTATAGGCCTTAACTGCTCAATCTCTCCTGTGGAGAGTAACGAAAGGGCTTGTATGAGACAGCCCTAGGGCTAGCGTACTATAGAGATTGTTAGAAACCATGATCACATGGTCTGTTATAGTTGTAGTAATGTAACAAACCTCAGATGGGTTACTCAGCAAGATTCGTGCAACTATACGAGAAAGGCAGATACTCTAGTGTAGAGTATCTATACTAGATCACTTTTGGCTTGAAGGGACCCACACACATTTATTTTGTGAGCTCAGTTCACAGCCCTTCAACACAGACCTGTGCTAGGATCAGAGGAACAAGAGATCATTCATCTCCTTAAGTTAACACTGCCATTTAACGAGATAATGACTGATATTCCACCTAACTTCACATATCTTCCTTTGCTCCAAATCTTTAAACGTCTTTGGTTAACAAAAATCTAACTAATCTCAGATTTTAGATCTAACATTTTGTTTAACATCAATTGCTATTTGTGGAACAGCATTCCAAACTTCTACCACAAAATGCTTCCTAATTTCACTCCTGAAAGACCCGACTCTAGGTTTGAGGCTTTGTTCCCTACTTCTAGTCTGGCTAAGCAGATGGTTCCGCATGACCTAGCAAACAGTAATAAACAGAAGTAAATCTATTTTTTTTTCACACAGCTTCACAAATGGTTGACCAAGCAGCAAGTGTGTTGTACATGAAGTTATAACCACAAAATGTAAATACCAATTTGCACCTGTAATATTGCAGAGAACAAAAATGCTCTACATTTCAGTACAAGAGGAGCTTTGTGATTTAAGGTTCTTTTGTATTTGTGATTGCCTAGAATTACTAAATAGTCTCTTGCCGCACATAGATGAAAATGCACAACAATGCCATGGCTGCCAGTGAATAACACAATCTCAAATCCTATTGTGGCGAGTTGTGGGATCAAATTTAATAAAACTGGCTATTTGTGGGTTGACACCAGAATCAAATTCACATTGGAAAATCCTAACATTTACTGCTGTCCTCTAGGGCATGAAACTTGACTCTTAACTGCTGTCTGAATAACATGTGACTCCAATTTCAGACTACCAAGTTGGCTCCATTGTAAAGTGCATTTTGTATTTAGTAATTTCTTCTAAAAATTATGAATGTTTAGAATTTGCTACACAGACAGCTGTTGACTCGGTCAAGTCTTTTTAAGACAGAGACCAATAAGATTTGTGGCTACCAAGAGAATTAAAAGAAATTAAAGTTGAGATAGATTAGCGATGACATACTGAATGGCAGAGCAGGTTCCAAGTGCTGGATGATCTGCTCCTGCTCCAATTTCTAATGTTCTTATTAAAAAAAAAGCATGTAGTTAGCTCATGAGGAACAGGCAATAATATGCCCTTGTTAGTCTCATCTACACTCCAGCTGGCAAAAACAAAAATTTGCATCAATCTCAAGTTGCTGATAGTAGCTTTAACTTAAAAAGGTACAGGGATTTGGAAGGCAGATGTTGAGAAAATGAATAAATTGTGCAGAAGATAGGTGAACATATACTATATGGGCTGCCAAGAGAAACAGTGGGGGACAATTTTGTCAGCAGATTCAAAACAAATTTGCATATGTCACACAAAAAACCCCCAGAAGTCTACAGGAGGTATCTTGTTACTACCATTTGTGAATGTAGCTTCAAGCAATTAAATCATGCAGGTCAGAAATGGACCTTGATCCTCCCTCATCTGATGTATTAATACATCTCTCAATTTTCAGCATCATTCACTCAGCACTGATCACGAGCAGGGACATTTCCTCTTCCTCATCCTAGTCCTACCCATCCCCACTTAGGTAATCATTTCTCACATGAAGCTCAGATATTCTTCATCAGAGATACTGGCGTATTTGAGGTGGCAATCAGAAGCAGGACCTCCTTGTCGAAAAAACATCTTACAACCTGCTGCCGAGGCCCAGGTCCGTTATTTCAACAAACAGAAAAATTGTACACAGTCTCTAATTCTCTATTTGGCTCAATACTCTATAACTGCACACATTTGATGGGAAAGGGAAAAGAAAATGTCTTATTTCGTTTATGGTCTTATCTGGCGTGTCACTATAAACATATACACAGGAAACAGTGCTCAGGTCATTTATAGCAGCAGAGCTTGTTTTGTTGCTCATGGCAGCTTTCAGCCACTGAAACATGGCAATTTGTCTCACTACTAAATAGCTGCTTCCCTTAAAGACTTGCACCCATCACAGAAGAAACTCAAAAGGCACCAAATGAATATATCTTATCCTGCACTTATGTAGCACTTTTAATGTAGTAAAATATCCCGAGGCACTTGCAGGAGGGTCATCAAACAAAATATGACAAAGTACATACTCGAACTATACAAGGTGTAGAGCTGGATGAACACAGCAGACCAAGCAGCATCAGAGGAGCAGGAAGGCTGGTGTTTCGGGCCTAGGCCCAAGGCCCTGTTGTGAACAATGGACTGATGGAAATGGGGAACCACAAGAGGTCAGAAATGACGAAAGAGAGTTCAAGAAAAATTGTACAGTTGGAGAAGGCAAGAAGTAGGGCAGGATGATATCATGGGGGTTCTTGACAGCAAGGAAGAAAATTTTAAAATTGAGACATTGCCAGATCAGGGGCCAATGTAGATCAGTGAGAACAACAGCAGGGTGAGCTGGACACATTGAATTTCTTTGAAGTCCAGCCACTGTTAGAATGTCGGCAAATATGGTAGTAATGCTTTTCACAGACAGTTTCTTGAAATAGCAACGGGATGGAGAATCAATCACTCTTTGTTTTCGTGGTGTCTGAGAGTAATGTTGGCTAGGGTGATAGGGCAACATTCTGCTTTTCTGCAAATAGTTTCATGGCATTTTTACAACCAACAGAACAAGTGTATCAGGTACATGAGTGCTTATTTCTCATCTCACCAGAAGGATGACAAAACAGCCCTCCCTCAGTATTGCACTCAAGTGTGAGGTCAGACTAAGCACTCAGTTACAAGTTCTCATTTTGCACAAGCGCACAAAAAAAAAATCCTAGAATTTTATACAGTTAAATGCAGGAGATGCCAAGACTGAAAAATTTTAAACAGCAGTGTTGCAGTTTAACCACTGAAAAAGGTATCCTGCCTCATCGATCCTCTAATCACTCATTGTTGTAAATACAGACACATTTATATATTATTAAAAGATTGTGTATACATACTTTCCTGTTATGGTTTTTGCTTATACTTCTACAGTAACATGTGACAATGAACCCATGTAAACATTTAGAACGAAAAAAACCTGTATGTAAACAGTTACCTGTAACTGTGTAATTGCAGATTCCAACTAATAAAGAACTGTGGAGCCCATCCTGCAACTTAGTCACGATTATGTTTATAAAGGAAAAATATCATCAATCATTCTAATCAACAACTAGGGGAAGGTTACGCCAAGGATACTTTGAATGCAGTTGCTTAAGTATGACAGAATCTGTAGAAAACAAACACTTTATTTTCAGACCTTTCACATACAGAACATCACTGATTAATTAAGACAAAAGTAAAATAAATAGACATGGAAAACAAGTGCCATAAAAAAGAGTTACAGTAGTCTTTGATAAATACACAACTATTTGAGATAGTGAGATGTACAAAATATCACATTTAAAATTTTACACAATATACAGTTCCTTTGCAATATATTTGTAGAGGAAGAAAAAGTACTTTTCTTTAATAAAAGGAATTGTGAGTTTAACCCTGTCACACACTCAGCACCTGCAAACAAGACCCCAGTCTCACATTTTCCAAGTCCTGTATTGATTTGTGTTTCTGTTTTTAAAATTGCATACAGCATTGTTTCAAACCAGAATTTTTCAGAATTAGTTTGCTATTGTTGGCAGCGATGTAAGGCTCTAGTAATATTGAGTTTTATGGGGACTAGTGGGAAGGGGCAGAATCATTTGGCGAGAAATTGTTAAAAAGCCAGCCAGCTACCAAATTGAGACCTAGGAGATAACAATTCATGCAAACAATGTATATAACCAACCTGTAAGCATTACAGCAAAGGATTCTCTAAGCATTAAACTTGGTAAGGAAGTTTACTGGTGCTGGGAGTCGAAATTTCAGACTTTTTTTGAGTGGGAAAGGGTTTAATTGCTCCAACTAACTAAAAAAGCCCTACCTTGGTCAAAGCAAGTAATCGTCTTAAGAACCAAACACCTCCCAACTTAGAAAAGAAATAGCAGGTGGAAAATAACAATAGGTGGAATTATGTAATAACTATCATTTTGCAAGATTTCATATTTGACAGTTAAACACTGGGAAAGAATTCGACTGAGCTGCCACTAACCACTTTCAACCAGGTCTAAAATGTGGGGGTCTGTACAAAAAAAGGACTTCAAGAAGAAGTTATGTGCATCAGCAAGTTTTTGACAGCAGCACAATGGACAGCTAACAACTGATAACAACCCTTGGACAAAATCTTTTGCATCATGTTCAGGTTGCCCGCCATTTACATAAAAAAAAAGAATGCAAGGTATACAGATTAATTCATTTTTAATCAGATGTTCAGGACAGCAGCATGAACTTTCTTAGCAACAAAGGCAGCTTTAAAGTTTCTTTATGCTGTAAACTGAAGGTGGAGAGGGGACATGATTGAGATGTATACAACCATTACGGGCATAGATAGTATAGATGTGGAGGGATCAATGACTGGGGGCACAGATTTAAGGTAAGAGGAAGGAGGTTTAGAGACACACAGAGGAAATTTTTTTCACCCAGAGGGTGGTGGGAATCTGGAACTCACCGACTCTAAGGCTGGTAGAGGCAGAAACCCTTGGAACGTTTAAGTAGTATTTAGATGTACACTTGCAATGTGAAGACATACAAGGCTATGGGCCAAGTGCTGGAGAATGGGGTTAGAACAGTTAGGTGTTTGTTTCTAATCAGCACAGACACGAAGGGCCTTTATCTGTGCTGAATGCCTCAATGACTCTAAATAGCTAACTGCAGCCAAGTGTTCCATTGTTGACAGTACGTTAGAACATTATAAACGCAGTAAACTGAGCACATGAGGCTGATTCTCAAAAATTGGCTAATTGCTCAGTTTGGTGGAGGCTGTGTATTTTACAAAAAGAGAAATTCAGAGAGGGGAGATTAGTAGGGCTAGTCCTGCAAATTTCTGCCTTGAAGCCTGGCAAAAAAACACTGAAGAACCAAGTACAACGATGATAATGACTTTAAAAAGAGAACTTTTTAAAAAATTATCAAGAGGTGAGTTTTGAGAAATGGCACATATATCTTTTGGTGGTGTTGCTGTAAGATCAAAAAGATCTTTCAAAAACAAGAATGTAGGACATTTAGATTCCAAAATGCTAGCGTGCCTCTAGGATCTCTTTTCCCTCACCCAAGACAAAAAATAAAACGACTAGTCCGAACTTTGAGAACACATTGCCTATCAGGTACATTCTGAAGAACGCTAATGGTTTCTGCTTTTTTAATAGGGGCAACAAATTCTGAAAAAGTCTTCAAGATAGTTACCAATCAAATCTCTTTGTTCCATCTTCGAATAATTATTTGTAGTTTTCTTTGACTGTGCTCTGTTTCATTATCACACTGGGGCCTATCTAACATAACATCAAGAAGGAAACTGATGACAAGGCCTCAAAGAAGTAAACTTAAACATTCAGGATTAAAACATATAAACTGAAATCCACTTAAACTGGATTTAAGTGATCAATGTTTCATTCCCTTGACAAAATCCCAATGCCATCTTGAATTTCCTGCTTGCAAGCACTAAATTCCTGTCACCAAAGATTCTGGTGTCAAATGATCCTGGCTGCTTACAATGTTAAATGAATTCTGCAAGACCCAACTGATAGTGCCAAACGTCCAAATGATCTTTCTTCCCAAAATTCAAAGTAACCCTTTGCAGTTGATCCTTACAAATACACTTCTGTGTGAAGACCCTGCTCTCAAGATTGTGCCAAGTAGCATTTTGCTCCCAGGGCCAGCATGCTTGCCTGCTATTAAACATTTGTGGAAACTGCCAGCGAGTGTACATTCAGGAATCTTGTCGACAGGAGTTTAATGACAGCTGTAAGAATCCGAAGAGCAAAGGGGCTTAAGTCAGAAGGTCTCTGACTGGGAAGTGCATCCTATACAGCAGGGATGTCCAAAGCACGATCCATGGGACCAGACAATCCAACCTTATTTGTACCCACATTTCACATTTGCCACAATCATAGTTTTGAGAGTCCAGAGAATTGGAGAAAGTCCATTCATGGAGCTGTTTCTTCACTGAGGGACGAAACCGAAATCAGAACATTAGGCTGCCAACTTCAGCAGCTTCAGAAAGGTGGGAAAAGGAGTTTAAACTTTCCAAATGGATCTATGATTCCAAGAGCCACACCTCTATAGCTCATGAACACAAAAGCCTTGGACAGGTCCCACGGAATAGAATGTCATTCTGAATGCCATAGAACAGTTTTTATACCACTTACAATATAAATGAACTGAAAATATATATATATATAAAATCAATGTCAAAGTCTTCATTTGAATTGTATTTGTTATGTAGATTTTCGCTTCCTAGATTGCTATGTTTGCTCGGTTATATTTGTTAAATGCCACATGAAGAAAACGTTAGTTCTGAAATAAACAAAGGTCAATATCACCTTGAGGCATTTTGTTCACATTTACATAATAACTTAGATATTATGCTTAGTTTGCAATTGAATAAAACTAGTCTAATTCTTCACAGCTTGCCAGTACTCACTATCCTCTGTTTTCTTCTTGAAAGATACTATCATGTGATTATAGAAAACCATTCTGTTTTTCTGACATTCAAAGTGTATTTGATTGTGATGTGTATGCAAAGGGAGAGGTGCACATTACAGACAGTATCTTCACCTGAAGACTATATGAGTGTTCTTTCCAGTACACGTTCGCAAACAGGAAAGTTGTCCGAATTTCCCCATCTCTCATTTGTAGAAACCTTGAGTTTACCAAACCCAAGTCATTTCTGATCTATATGGTTCACCAAACCGCACAGCTGCACTTCACCACTTGAACCACAGGAGGGAGTGAAGGCCCTTCCATTTTAAAAGCCATTGCTGAGCTAGCAGAGAAGGTATCTTGAAGAAACAAAATATATTTTAATCAAAAGAACTGCTTGGTTACCAACTTAACAAGTGAAGAGTAAGCACTGGTGTGCTGATCAAACATGGTAGGCATCACATTCACATCTGATCTACATCCATCCAATGTCATAACTTTCCAGTGACTCCAACCCTCCCCAACTAGATAGCAATAAGTAGCAGGAATTTTGTCTGACAGCTTTTAATGTGTCTACTGCCAAGCTCATCTGCACATGCCAGTTCCTGTCCCAGCCGAGAACCATCCAACTCTCTACTTACTGGGATTGAACAGAGGACATGCCTAATCTGTATGGCATTGTGACTCACCGAGATGTTGAGGGAGCCCAAAAAATATTTTGTTTTAAATAGTAATGATCGCTGCCAGATGCAAAAAAACTATACCAGTAATGTTGTAGAAAGCAAGCAACATTTAAAATAGCTATAACAGGATGCCTCTTAGTGCTACTGGCCTCCGTGTATTTACATGCCATATTGTATTCACTTTGAAACATTATTGGCTATAGTTTCATTTAGAAAAAAACAACTTTGTACTGACTAATTAAATGGATTACCATTCTGTAATCTGAAAGTTCGTTGCAGAATTATAAGTTTACTGTAGCCTGGGTCTCCTGGTAAATAATTGACACCTGATTCCTAAGAAGATGGGTCATTACCATTGTTTACCCAGTGCAGTTCAAAGAAAAAAAAATTATCTTCCCTTTTTCCTCCTCTGCTGAAGGCGATACTCGCACGTTGAGGTATGAGTTTCACTAGCAGCTGACCAGCACTTCCCCCAAGGGTAAGTCTGGATAGTGAGTGTTAACAGGTTATTTCACTATGGAACAGCATTTAATACCGATTAATGAATTAATACCAATCCTGAACTCACTCAAGCAGCCTCAAGACCAAGTTACAGTGATCAGGACAGCATATGATACTAGTGTTCCCTTCCATAGCTCGGGGGAGGGGGTTGGGGTCTAATTGTGTTGTCTCATCTGAGAACAACCACTTAGCACAAAACAGAGCCTAACTCTGGGATTCTCTGGCCTCAGGAAACAGATTTCTAGAAAAGCCAGTCTATTTGCAGTCAACTGATACGTTTCAAAGGAGCAGATGTGATTCTGTTAGGCAGGGGAGCAATATAGAAATATGACTTTCTGAAGAAGGGTCTAGGCCCGAAATGTCAGCCTTCCTGCTCCTCTGATGCTGCTTGGCCTGCTGTGTTCATCCAGCTCTATACCTTGTTATCTTAGAAATATTAGCACACTGCTTCATTTCTTCCTTCACTATGGTATCAGCAGTTGATGGATGGGATTTGGGAGAGTGGTGTCTCTGTGGGTCAATGAATCCCATGATGAAAGAATTGTGTGCGAATCCTGGATACAGCAAGATGGAGAGCCCAGTTTTTTTCTTTTGCTTTTCAAGTTCTTGAGAGTGGCCCAGCATCATTTCATGCATTGAATTTGCCAACCAGCTTAGCCAGAAGGGCAGTTGTCGTTGTTATGATTAGAAATACTTTGCTTTAAACCATCATATTTAGCAAAAGTGGCAAACTCACAAACCCAAGGAGAGAGCAAATATATTTTGACAGAGATAATTACCCAATGCATTGCATCAACATTTTGGGAGAATGCCCAGTGTTTTGCATTACTTCCATCTTAATACTCTCAAAGTCACTGCAGCAGTCCTCACTATGTATTACTGAATAACAGGATGGGAACAATGGTATAATATGCTGAGTTCTCAAGGAGTGGCAAAAGATTAGTTCACCGGGATCTGCAACTGCAGATCTCTCCAAAAACCATTCCCTTCATTAACTATTTTAGTTCTAGCAATTCTTTTCCCACAGAATGAAAAACACTAAAGGGGTAGAATTTGTGCAGTATGCTCCTGATCACCCTTTCCAGACCCTTTCTTTTAAACTAAAACAAAAACTCCCAAACTATACCAGCGCAATTTCACTAAAGGCATTTTTGTGACACTCCCTACCCAGTTCACAACAGTGTTTACCCTGATGCCATAAAATATTCCACCTGGGCATATAAGACAGGAAGATCCCAGGTTCAATTCCCTGCCTGTGCTCAGTTATCTGATCTCAACATGTCCAATCACTGCAAATCAGTAGTCAATGAAAGTGTGAAAGATTAAAAGTCACAGTTAAACTGTATTGTTGAGTGCTCATCAGATCCAAGTAATGATTGGAGAGGGGCAATCAGGCTGTCCCCTCCTATCAAAAGTCACAATAATGAAGAAACATTGGAAAAGCTTGGGTTTTCCAGCCTCAAAAGGAAGCACTCGAGAAAATGACCTTTTAGAGCTGGTGAAGGCCATGGAAAATGGTTATCTGAAAATTGCTTTAAACTAAATTGCCCAGAGGATGACAAACGGGTGCATTTGTTTAGAAAAGCTACCCTTTGTTAATAGAGTACATTCAACACCGTCAGGCTATGTGATCCTCAGATTATGAAATATGAGAGGCAACTTACAAGCCACCCCTAATTATGTGTTATTACATTCGTATTCTTTTGAGCCCAAGTTGGAGATCCTTGGTCCACCTTTGTGTATGTCTCCTCATAATACTCCCCAGTGCTGTACTAGTGGGGAAGGGATAGGACAAAAAGAGTGATGAACCTGTATCCCTGTGACACGTGCCTGCTGTTATATTCCACCAAGTCAATGCTAAATTGGTACAAGATGGCCAGGGAAAGAAAACTAATCACACCGGTGACAGGCTGCATTAAAAAAGTAGTCCAACATTAAAAAATAACTTATGCCAGCACAAAAATTGCTGGCGCACCCTTATACGGTTTGACCTACACTCTGCTACTTCTTTTACTTGTTCCACACAGCCCATGATCGGGTACCTATACAAAATTTACCAAATCCATTTTCTTTTAAAGTTTAAAACATATACATATTGTGTAGAGTTCCGTGAAGTCAAGTCCCTGATAGAGCTTTGCTACGAAAGATGTGGAGGGAGAGCAACCCAGGACTGCAAACCCAGGGTCCTGAACTTCATGGCTGGAGGGCAAGTTATCTTCATTCACTGATTCAAAGGCAACCGTTCTGGGAGTAATGTGGGATCAACCCTTACAGAAGAGCAGATACCAGTCTGAAAGAAAGAGAACAAGGCATGAAACATAAAACATAAGAACAGTTGCTTTTGCATTCAGCCACCAGGAGGCGGACGTGAGTTTTTCGAAATCTTATTTACAAATTCTTTTAAAACCTAATCTTCAAATAAAAAGTTCTCTGTTTCTTGCAGCAGTGTTTGCATATGCATGTGGCCCCTATGGTTTTGTAATTCTCCATTAACTTGTCCAAATGACCATCTTACACATATCAATCTGGAGGGGGAGTATCAAAAGGCTGATGATTATAGGCAATCCTAAACTTGTCCTCCTTCCAGTAACTACAAATGGGCACGGTGAGATAAAAAGTGACTGAAGAGAAATTGGAGGAGGAACTTTGAATTTAGTTCTCTCAGCTCCTCCTGTATTCAGCATACCCAGCCCAGTTCCTACACCAGCTGAGACAAAATGCAGTTCAGGCATCATCTCTGGGACATTCCTGATGCACTGCTAATTAAGCCATTTAATTAAGTATGATATTCATACTATGCCAATTTTCTCATTCCAATAATTTGATGCAAGTTGCTGTTCTACTTCCCAAATGAGAAAAAAGGTGATTCCTTTCACTTAATATTTTTACTTCAATTATTCAGGATGCTGAAAAGGGAGAGTTAACACAATTAGAAATGACTTTATTTCTCAATCATGATTTTAAAGTGTTGAGACTAATAAATGCAATTATCAAATTTAAACATGGAGTCTATAGGTGAACATTATGAAGACTTATAGTTTAAATCCATTAATTCCCACATAATTGAAGCTGCCTTTAACAACGGACCATGTTTGAAATTGGATTTTCCCACCACTAAAACATGGCGCAGAGGGAAAAATTAGAGTTGAGGTAGATGCTCAACCTTAAGGGAGGAGCAGGTGTGAAGATTCTTTGGCATACCCCTTCCCACATTTCTTACTTTTTTTTAAACTTATGCACACAGCTGAGGTAAAATCACATTGCCCAAACCTCCAGACCGACAAGTTCAAAAATGGGAAAACCAATGGATAAGAAATATAAGGGCAATCAAGGCCAGGAAATCTGGGTTTTGAGGGTTTGATGGCTGGGACTTGTAGAGATCCTTGCCCTGAGGCACATAACTAGAGCTAGTTGGGCAGACGAGCATTAAAATCTGCCTCCTATTCCTGACAGGAGCTGAATATTGAAGTGTGCCAACCACAAAGTTTGCATTATTTTGTGATTCAGCATATAACTACACGCCTTCCCCACAAATTGCTTGATTCTCATAAGTAAAAGATGTTAAGGCCACTGCTATCCTTCCATCAACTTACTTAAAACCTCATGAGTGAGTTCAGACAGGATTGGTGGGCTACTTGACTGAACAACACTGCAGTCAACTCCAATTGGGCCTTCATCAATCGGGCATATGTATTAATCCTGAAGAGTGGGAACGTTAACTAAAATCTGGACCCTTAGCGTCTAGCAAACTGCAGGCCCTCAATGGCCTTTATAGTTTAGTAGATAATTTAGACACCACCTAGTAGAAACAACATACTGTACAAAAATAGAAATTGCTGGTAAAGCACAGCAGATCTGGCAGCACCTGGGGAGAGAAATCAGAGTCAACATCTTGGATCCAGTGACTCTTCTGAGGAATTGTTTAGCAACAAACTGTACAGTCTGACCAAGCTCACTGGGTCCAACCAATAATCCCCTCAAAATTTGTTGCTGCATACATAGAGCTTAGCTCAACTTGGGGTACCTTTTAACATTTTTGTGCGGTACTGTGACAGATAGCTTGTCAGCAGCCTTGACCTTTGTTGTATTGTACCTCGACCATTGTGCTCCCAAGCAAGCGTGTAGCTTAGCACGCTCACTGCCCCAAACTCTATATCCCATCATTGTAAACAGAACAGTAAAAAATAAGTTTTGCAGCGCTGAAGCTCACCTGCTCACAGGAATGAGAGCCGAGAGGTGATATTGTGTCATACAAATACTTTGGCGAGGGCGTCTGCTCCTGCACTGGCAATGTAGGCTTTGCTCGGGTGAAAGGTGACATCATGGATTGCCTCATCATACTTCTTCCGGTGCGCTGTAATCTCCTGAACGCAGGTCTTGTTGTCCAGGTTCCAGAGCCGTATTGAACAGTCATGACCTGTTTAAATCGGGCACACTCAAGAATTTAAACACTGCATATTTCCATGGAAACTAAAAGGAAAGAGCATATTTTTTTTAAAATCACACTTTCAAATTGCTTTACAGCCAATTAGGTATGATCACTACTGTTAGACAGGCAAGTACAGGAGTCAATTTTCAAACTGTAATGAGATAGATGACTATTTAATCTGGTTTCTGGTGGTGTAGATGTTGGTAACTGAAATGGCAGTTGTAATCCATTCAGTAAGGTCATAGCTGATTGAAGCGCTGAGTCTGTTTTTACCTCACCACTCTTGCTGGAAAAAAGAGACACTTTCTTGAAGTCTTTCACTTTGCACACATCAGGACAATTTATAAGAAATAACAGTGTAAAAGGAAAATAATATTTATACTGTACAAATGGAGAATAATAATTTGGGGTCAAGCAGAATTGTCTTGATGAGTGCCATGTAAAAAGCTTTGCCAAAATATGTCCTTTTTTATCAGCAATACTCAAGTCAGGGCTTTTTCCCCTTGTCTTTAGTAGACTTGAGAACACAACACAACAAACAATCGCTATGCAAAGGTAGTTGAGTGATACTTACTCCCGGACATCAGGAAAACTCCATTAGGATCAACAGCAAGAGAGGTAACTGCGTCCAAGTGGGCAACCATTGAATGGATCATTTTTCCTATAAAGGTGAATTAAAGAACATCACAGGAAAATATTAGTCTAACCAGCCGATTACTCTTCATATTCTTCAATCTCTGCCCTCCACTGTCCTCATCCATTTGGTTTATCAGATTTCTTTTTCCCTCTTTCTTTCCCAACTGTCAAGAGTTATTTATAGTTTGAATGAGGTCTGATTCAGAGGTGCTGCCTGATACTCCTACCTAATGTTTAAAAATTGGGCCAAAGTATACTTAAAACTCAAGAAGCAATCCTGGCAGAATGCAATTAAAACAATTTCCACCAAAATCAGATTAGGGTGAGTACCCACAAGGAAAGCAAACTTTTCATTTCAGATATTCAAACTCTCAAGCCATTCAACAAAGTTTGATACTAAGCAGGAAATGGATTTGTAAATTTTGATTGTCAAAGGACTTTAAAGCTCTGCCCAATTGTTTTCCTTTGTATGTTAGGGTGGATATTTCTCTACCTAACCTGTTAAGTTTGGCCCTTTACTAGGTCATTCACGTTATAAAGAAATATCAAAGCCCATTCTCAAGTATGTGATCCTTTGTATGTTAGGGTGGATATTTCTCTACCTAACCTGTTAAGTTTGGCCCTTTACTAGGTCATTCACGTTATAAAGAAATATCAAAGCCCATTCTCAAGTATGTGAGAAGCACTGTTCATTAAGCCATTTCCAGCAGCCAGATTTTGCCAATTCACTCCACTCTTAAATCTTTCCCATCTCAATGCATTCATAGGATCTGGGCATTGCTAACTGCTCATCTCTAGATACCCTCAAGAAGGTGATGATAAGCTGTCTTCTTGAACCGCTGCAGTCCACTTATGTAGGCACACCCACAGCATTTTTAGGAAGGGAATTCCAGGATTTTGACCCAGTGACAGTAAAGAAAGGTGATATCGTTCCATGTCAGGATGGTGAGCGGCTTGGAGAGGAACCTACAGGGGGTGGTGTTCCCATGTATGTGCTGCCCTTGTCCTTCTAGATGGTCATGGTCATGGGTTAGGAAGGTGCTGTCTAAGAAGCCTTGGTGAATTTCTGCAATGCGTCTTGTAGTTGGTACATACTGCTGCAACTGAGAATGTACTGTAGGAAGTGAATGTTTGTTGACATGGTTCCAATCAAGCAGACTTTGTTCTGGATGGTGTCAAGTTTCTTCAGTGTTGTTAGAGCTACACTCATCCAGGCAAGCAGGGAGTTTCCATCACACTCCTGACTTTTGCCTTGTAGATGGTGGTCCAGCTTTAGAGAGTTGGAAAGTTATTTGCTAGAGAATTCCTAGCCTCTTGTCTTTATCTGCGTACAGGCTACAAATTGCAAAGTCCAGAACAATTCAGTAAACTTCGTCAAAACATCAATATCCTCCTAATAAACTATTAGATAAATTTTCTTATTTACCCGTCTTGTTATCAAAGAACCGAATACATCTGTCGTCATGTGCAGTAATAGTGACTGGTAACTTGGGGTGGCTGACAACACGGTTAATCTGATTAGCAGCTGCAGAGAGAGAGAAAGAAAATGCAGTTAATTCAACCAGATTTTGTAATTCAAAGTCTAATATAATTTTGGAATTCATAGAAACAGAAAATAGGAGTAGGAGGCCACTCGGCACTTTCAGCCTGCTCCATCATTCAATATGATCATGGCTGATCATCCAACTCAGTATCCTGCTCCTGATTTCTCCCTATGCATATATCTATCTTGTACATTAAGCGGGTGTAGGGATTTGCAATGGTACTTTCATCTTGCTTCAGTGTACAGTATGGTGATCATCTGCATCCATAATTCTCAAGGCTGGGAAACAACCAATTTCTTTCATTCCATGTATAGCAAAACAGGCCATTCAGTCTGACTGATCCATGCCAGTCTTTATGCTCCTCATTTTGTTTTCTGTCTAACCCTATCAAGGTATCTTTCTATTTCTTTCTCCCTCAGTTGTTTGTTTCCCTTCCTGTTAAATACTTCTATTTAGCGCAACCACTCCCAACGGTAGCAAGGTCCATGTTATAAGTATTCACAGGAGAAATTTGCTTGAATTTCCTATGATTTATTAGTGTTCCACAAAAAATGGTAAACATCTTCTGTGTCTAGCTTATCAAGCCCTCTCATAATCCTGAAAGCCCAACAGGATGCACCTCAGCCTTCTCTTTCCTACAGGAATAAGCCTGTTTAATATTTCTGAACCGCTATAACTTTTCAGCTCTGTTAGTGTTCTCATAAATCTATTTTTTCCTCCTCCAAAACCTCAATTTGGTTTCCTCCAATTACTTCAAAAACATTGTTAATATCTCTGTGATGAAATCGCAGCAATGTATGACTCAAAAGGATATAATTTCTGGAAAGTTTTTAGTAGTTGGTAAATTTACACAGCTTATGCATGCTTTTGTCAGAGACAGAGGTCAAAAGGAGACCATATATAGCCTTATTGCCCAGCTGACGCAATCTGAATACACCTGTTTCACGAACTTTCCAGCAAAATGCAGGAAAAATAACTCCATGTAGAAGGAGCAAATAATTGAAGGTTAAGATTAGGAACTCCATGAGCAAGACAGGACTCACTTGCAGGTTTGCAGCTCCTCTTTACTAGCCCCTGTCTGTCAGCTTACCAGTGTCAGATGTTTTAGAATCCAGGGTCATTACTGGTTGTAATGCCTGCAGGTCATATATGATCACGTCACCGTTCGTGAAGGAAGCTACAGCATGATCAGGATCGCTCACAAAGGCAACAGAGGTAGGAATCCCATTTTCTGGAGAACATAAAACAATCTATATTTAGAAATCAATTCGAATTCACCACAAAAAGTAAGTAATTAGGTTACTATACTGAACATTCATCTTGCAGATTTCAGGGCATTGTATTGTATTACTAACATCAATTGCATACATTTGATAAATGGTAGTATTTAATATCATCTAAATTGAAGTCCCCTGCTAGTTCAATGGCTAATGCAGTCTGTAGCTGAGCTGTACAAATCACCTTGGGCCCACGTTACTGTTAGTATCATTTCAACTGGCCCAAGGTTAAAAAAAAAGACTGGCTGTCTTTTTCAGAAACCCCTTTTCTGATGAAGGGTCCCGACCCAAAACATCAACCTTCCTGCTCCTCTGATGCTGCCTGACCTGCTGTGTTCCTCCAGCTCCACACTGTGTTGTCTCTGACTCCAGCATCTGCAGTTCTTGCTATCTCTTAATTCTTCCCTGTTTGCATTAGATCTTACTATACACTCCATCTTGATCTGGCTCAAGTATAACAGCTCCAGATTTAATGAGGGGAAGGGCTATCAGCCTTTAGCAGATGGCACACCCCTGCCTGGTGGGCAGTAACCCTGACTCTCTTCCGTTCCACTAGATGGTCCATGTCTTTCCTTCCAGAAGACGGCAGCTCCCTACTTCAACATACGCACCCCAAAAAGGTAGCCTTACTCTTTTTCCAATCATCCCAGAGGCACCACATGTTTGACTCCCAAGCTTTTACTCACCCTTATCTCTGTTGTATGTACTAACACACGCTGGATTCGCAGTTGCATCCCACAACCTAACAGTTCCATCTGCTGAACAAGAAATGAGGCGGTTCTTTGGGATACTAAATGCGAGTCCCCAAACTGTATCTGTGTGACCATTTAGTGTTCTGGACAGAATACTCTCATCTGTGAAAAGAAACATATTCTTACCACTGAATGATAAATTGTACGACTGAAAGAGCAGTGTCTTAACAGGATTAGCCCGTAAATATAGTTATACCTTATATCAAGTCTGACCCTTATAATGTCTCATTTCTTTGGGATAACCAGGCTCTGCTTCTCTACATTTTGATCTTTCAAATAAAAATTGTTACCAGTAAATATCAGGAGGAGAAATCAATAAATAGTTAACCTCTCATGACCTAGTTTGGTCAGCACAACAAATGCAGATTTAGCCATCATAAAAAAATGGAAGTTCACTTACATTATTATTCAGATTAAATATATAGAAGCACTGAGCTTAGATCGGAGAATAAATGTCAGCACATTCAGGAGAGAAAAGAGTAAAGAGTCAGGAAGGAAATAACTAAATAAATAGATAAAAGCCTTAATACAATGGATATTCATAAATAATTTTAACATCACTCTAATGACCAGCACAGTTAAAATCAATTGTTACCAGCCATTCATGACAATACATAATCATGAGCTCTGGTCATATGCAGGCCCATCAGTATGCTATTTTGTTAAATACTACTTAGCACATACCATAAGTATCGTATGGATCAGTATTCAAGCTTGGAATATTCCAGCAGCAAATTGTGCCATCAAGTCCTCCACTGAAGCACTGGTCCCCTTTAGAACTAACTGCCAATGATAAAACTGGGTCTCTGTAACAGCAAGACAGGGACTTTAAAAAAGAAGCCAAATACAATAAAAATGACTAGACAATCAAGTGTTTCCAAAGCACTACCAACGCAGTGTAGTTCAATGATTTCCCACAGTCGTAAAGACAATGACTCCCTGGAGTTTCAACATCTAGGAGCACAGTGGCTAACTTTTACATCACTTCAGCTGTCTTGGTGAGATCCACAAAGCATAGACTCTGGATCAAATCTAGAACCTAGTCTGCAGATAGACTAACCCCATGGATAACTAAACTCAGTGTTTGATGAATTAAATTTGTTAGTTTCCAATAAAAATGCTGAATTATTTAATTTGAATGAATGCAAGCAACAACATCTAAATGGGGGAATTTGGAAACAATATACTGTTTGTATCACCTCTAAGATTGACGGAGTAACTGATAATTATATACTCACATGTGCCCCCTGAACGTATAGATTGGTTCCACATCCAACGCAGTACTCCTAGAACAAATTAAAATTAAACACCTAAAGTGGACATTCTTCTCTTCCAATAACATCCTCCCAGGCTTTTTCCAAAAGCTAAGTTTTTTGCGTATGTAAAAATTTCTAGCTACTTTTTATGTTGTTATCCAACAGCCGACTGAAAACTGAAATAAACCAGGTCTCCACGAAACAGGCAGCCAGTTAGAGTCATTTTCCATTTGAATCCGAACAGTTACACTTAACAGTTTCAAGGAGTTGCTTTAGATCTGTGAGTCAGTAACTTGTGATATCAGCAATGTGCCACAGATAGTATAACAGTTGCTTCAAAAGGGGTAATAAGAGATGAACAGGAAAAAGAAGTAACTCTTGACCTACCCATTATAGAAACACATGGCTTTCAATCAATAATTAATTGCTCCACGAACAACTTCAGAATTTCAAATAGTGAGGAAAACCTTCTATGTAGTCTACCTAGCACCAGTGATGTGCGGTAATTAGATGCAGAGGCATTGTTCCAACAACAAACATTGCCGTCAAACTCAGAAAAGCACCTCAACTGCAATAGTACAAATTATTTTCTTTTCCACGCGAGGTACCTTCTCTGAATGAGCTTGCCCACTTCATATAAATTAGGGATAAATTTTGTGATGTGGACCCACACTCATTTCAAAGGGGAGCAGTGCAGTGACCAAGACTTTTGCCTTCTCTGCGTGGCTAAAGCTGCAAGTTCATGGTCTAATTCACCACAATACTTAGTCTTTCAAAAAGGCCAACCCCACAGAACTGTGTACGGTTCAGTAATGTGAAGAAATAGTTAGTTTACGAGCTTCAGCCTACTTTGCTCTGTCCTAATCAGAAAGAAACATATCTCACAACACAGAAAAAAATTACTTTTTGGCAGGAACTGTTTTCTGCAGGTTCCATAGCTTCAGAGTACGATCCTCTGAAGCAGTAATGAGCACAGGCTCCACTGGGTGAAACGCCAATGCACGGATCCCATCAAAATGACTCCGCAACGTATACTTCGGATTCCAGGTTTTCCTGAAGGTATCCTTGCAATCAGAAATCTGCAACAAGGAAATTAAAGTCTGATGAAGGGTCATCGACGTGAAACTTTGACTCTTTTCCCTCCCTTTAGATGCTGCCCAACCTGCTGAGTATACCAGCATTTTCTGTTTTGATCTAAGACACATTCCTAGCTATATTTGCAAAGTTCCCACTCCCAAAGAGTTGACAGCATTTCTGATTGATGACCAACACACTCTAGTGGGCAAGGAGAAGCCTTGTGAAATAAGTAACATTTAGCTTCCATTGCAAGGCAGAATTAGATTTTTAAAGTTTCAACTTTTTTTAGGAAAGTATTAGCTACATTCTAAGGTTGCATTGGGGGCATTGTAATTGAGCCCATTGCCCTGGGCTTCAGGATGTGGATAAAAAAGCTGGTTCACACTTTCAATCACTGCTCATTAACACAGCTAAAATATGTGGAATAAGATCATATTTCAGCTGAGATGTCCTCTGTGGTTTTGCAGTCTCTGTATGGACTTGCTCATCCATGCAGAATGGCCACATGGTTGAGGGCTGGAACTGAACACCAGCAAAAGCCAGCGAGCGAATAAAAATACTATTTTTAAAATGGTACAAAAAGTGTTTTCCTTCTAGTTTAATGTCGTTAATGTTTCAAAATTCATGAGTCCTAATAATGCAAATTTAAGCTTAAAATCTTAATTTGTGGGTAAAGAAGGGTTTTTTTTTAAAAGCAAAGAGCTTTTAAGAGCAGCTTCTTTTTAGGGTTAATGTCACTGAAGGCATTCAAGAGACACAGAGTGTGATGGTTAATGAATTTCGAAAGGTGGTTACACAGCAGGATTATTCAGACAGATGGATAACTGTCAGCAAAGGTAAGCAGATAGCTCACAAGTCTCCTGTGGCTATTCCTCTTTCAAACACGGACTCCTTTTTGGGTACCGTTGAAGGGGATAGTTTCTCAGAGGAAAATAGAAATGGCAGTCAGATCTTGGGTATTAGGAATGAATCTTATATTAAGCTAGGTTTGTCAAGATTGAAAAGAATAATTGTTATAGGGGACTCTCTTGTCATGGAGTGACAGACAGGAGATTCTGCAGCTGTGAGCACGAACCTAGAATAGCACATTGCCTTCCTGGTGCCAGGGTTAAGGATGTCTCGAAACGGTTGAAGCATATTGTCAAAGGGGAGAGTGAGAGGCTGAAAGCTGTTGTACACATTGGAAGGAACGACAGTTAGGGAAAGGGTTAAGGCTTTGCCAAGTGAACAGAAGGGATTAAGTAGAAGGTTAAAAAGCACAACATCAAAGGAAATAATCTCTGGTTTTACTCCTGGTATTACATTCTCATGAGAGTGGGAATAAAAAGATAGGGCAAATAAACCAATGGCTGAAGAGATGGTGCAACGTGCAAGGATTCAGATTTTTGAATCATTAGGATCTCTTCTAGGGTAGAAAAGACCTGTTCAAAAGGGATGAGTTTCACCTGAACTGGAAGGGACCAATATCTTGGTGGGGAGAATTGCTCGTTCTATTTCGGGAGACTTTAAACTAGTAGAGGGAATGGCAGTAAAAACAGAAAAACAGATGAGGATGGATCTGAATCAGAAACAGCAAGTTAGTTAGAAAAGACAGACGACAGCAAGTCAGAGAACGGGGTAACTCTGAAGAATTAAACTGCATTTATTTCGATGCGATGAGTCTTACAGCTAAGGCTGATGAACCCAGGGCATGTATGGGAACACGGGACTGGGACATCATAGCTATTACAGAAACTTTGCTGGGGGAAGGACAGGCCTAGCAGCTCAATGCTCTGGGTTTTGGATGTGATAGGTAGGATACAAAGGGAGACAAGAGAGGAGGGGGAGTGGTGTTTTTGATTAAGGAAAATATTATTAAACCTTTAATTACAGAGAGGATATTTCCGAGGAGTTGCCCTTCCCAATAGTCAGAGGAAACTGAGGAGCAAATATGTACAGAGATCTCAAATATATGTAAGAATAGCAGGATTGTAACAGTAGGGGATTTTAATTTTCCGAAGACTTGACTGGGAATGCCATAGTGTTAAAGGCTTGGATGGTGAGGAATTTGTTAAATGTACTCAAGAAAATTTTCTTTATCAATACGTAATGTACCTACTAGAGAAGGAGCAAAACTTGACCTTCTCTTGGGAAATCAGACAGGCCAACTGACTGAACAGTTATGGAAAAGAATCAGCCTTTCAAAGTTAAAGTTCTTAATTGGAGTAAGGCAAATTCTAATGGTATGAGATGAGACTTTTCAGAAGTTGATTGAAGTAGACACTAGGTAAAGGGAAGAACTGACAAGTAAGAGGCTTTCAAAAGTGTGATAATGAAAGTTCAGAGGCATTATGTTCCTGTTAAAGTGAAAGTAAGGCTGGTCAGAGGACGGAACAACGAATGAATAAAGATACTGAGGTTCTAGTTAAGAATAAAGACAAAATCATATATTAGATATAGACAACTGGGATCAAATGAATCTCTTGAAGAGTGTAGAGTGTAGGGGCATTCATAAGAGGGAAATCAGAAGGGTGAACGGGGGATTTGAGATTGGATTATCCTTAACTTTATCTGCCAAGGCAAAGAGATTCTACAAGTACATTAAGAGCAAAAGAGCAACTACAGAGAGAATAGGGCCACTTAAAGATCAACGACTTTGTCTATGTGTTCAACCTCAGGTGAAGAGGGAGATACTAAATTAATATTTCATGTTAATTTTTACTGTGGAGAAAGAAATGAAGGCTATTGAACGCAGGGAAATAAGTATTGATGTCTTGAAAACAGTTCACATTACAGAAGTAGTAGTGCTGGAGGTCTTAGAAAATAGATGGATAAATCTCCAGGATCTGATCAAGCGTATCCCACGATGTTATGGGGAAGTCAGTGAAGAAATTGCGGGGGTCCTAGCAGAAACATTTGTATCATCTAAAACCACAGGTGAGGTACCAGGGAAGTGGAAAGTGGCTAATGTTGTGCATTTACTTAAGAAAGGCTGTACAGAGAAGCCTAGGAACTGTAGACCTGCGAGCCTAACATCAATGGTGGGTAAGTTGTTGGAGGTGATTCTGGAAGATAAGATTTACATGCATTGAAGAGGCATAGGGATAGTCAGCATGGTTTTGTGCACAGGAAATAGTATCTCACAAACTTGATTGAGTTTTTTGAGCAAGTTATAATGAGAGCAGAACAGATGTTGTTTACATGGACTTTAGTAAAATCTTTGACAAGGTTCCACATGGTAAACTAATTAGTAAAATTAGATCACACAGGATTCAGGGTGAGCTAGCCAATTGGAATCAAAATTGACTTAAAGGTACGAGACAGAGGGTGGTGGTGGAGGGCTGTTTTTCGGACTGGAGGCCTGTGACCAGTGGTGTTCCACAGGGATTGGTATTGGGTTCACTTTCGTTTATAATTTATATAAATGATTTGGATGAGAATATGGGAGGCATGGTTAGTAAATTTGTGGATGATACTGCAGTGGATACTGAAGAAGGTTATCTAAGGTTACAAGACATCCTGATTGATTGGGTCAATGTGCTGAGGAGTGTCAGATGGAGTTTAATTTGTTTTATCAAAATGCAAGGGCAGGACTTTTGCAGTTAATGGTAGAATAGAGAGATCTCGGGGTTCAGGTACATAATTCTCTGAAATTTGCATGACAGGTAGACAGGATGGTTAAGAAGGCGTTTAGCACGCTTGCCTTCACTGCTCAGACCATTGCGTGTAGGAGTTGGGACATCATGTTGAGGTTGTACAGGACATTGGTGAGGCTTCTTCTGGACTACTGTTTGCAGTTCTGGTTGCCCTGCTACAGGAAGGATATTATTAAACTGATAAGCGTAACGAAAAGATTTATCAGGATATTGCCAGGAATGGAGGGTTTGAATTATAAAAATAGGCTGAGGTTTTTTTCTCTGGAGCAGAGGAGGTTGAGGAGTGACCTTATAGACGTTTATAAAATTATGAGGGCTATGAATAGGGTGAATAGCAAGGATTTTTTCCCTAGGGTGGAGGAGTTCAAAACTGGGGGACATATTTTTAAGGTGAGAGGAGAAAGTTTTAAAGGACATGAGGGGCAAGTTTTCTTTGGTTACACAGACAGTGGTTCATGTGTGGAATGAACTGCCAGCAAAAGTGGTAGATGCAGGTACAGTTACAATGTTTAAAAAGACATTTGGACAAGTATGTGAATAGGAAAGTATTGGAGGGGTGTGGGCCAAACACAGGCGAGTGGGGCTAGTTTAGTTTCGAAAATGGTCTGCGTGGACTAATTGGTTTTAAGGGTCTGTTTCCATGCTGTATGACTGTATAAGAGTGTATTTCTTCCTTACAAACTGGAAATTCAGTCGCAACATTTCATGCCAAATTTGGTTAAGAACTTCAGTTTTAGAAAAATACATACATCATTGTCATTAGTGACAGTCAGGTCTGCCAGCTCACCAAGGCTCATATCGCCATCTCCAGGATTATCCGCCCCCAGCATAAATGGCTTGTTAGCATGTGGAGGAAATGCAAGAGTAACACCTGCATTGGAAACAAAACAGAGTCAGAATATTAGAAAGAGTTCGGTCATCAGTACTCCACAAAGAGGATATCTAGGACATGCTTTTATTGCTACTATACAACCCCACATTATTCCTTTCAGTGAGGAATTATGCACTCCCAACAGCACAAGTAACTGAGTTTGACTGAATTAGGTAGTTTGAAACTGCATTACTGGAGACAGCCACCACCTCTAAAGTTAACATTTCGGGTCCAATGACCCTTCCTCAGAACTGACAGTAGCTAGGAAAATGTCGGTTTATATGTAGAAGACAGGGTGTGGACAGGGGGTAAGGAGTAAACGACAGGTGGGGACAGATCCCAAAGAGAAAGATAAACTCACCAACTCCCAAGGCTACCTGGACTATACATCCTTGCACCCTGCTTCCTGGAAAGACTCCATTCCATTCTCTCAGTTCCTCCATCTCCGTCGCAAATGTTCTAATGAGGCCAACTTCGACAAGGGAGCCTCTGAAATGTCTACCTTCTTCCTCAATCAAGGATTCCCCAGCACCATTGTCAACGGGACCCTCAACTGGGTCCGACCCATCTGCTGCATTTCTGCCCTCACTTTCTCTTTGTCCTCACTTCAGATAAGGTTCCCCAAGGTAGGCTGATGGAGAAAGTGAAGTCGCATGGGGTCCAGGGTGTACTAGCTAGATGGATAGAGAACTGGCTGGGCAACAGGAGACAGAGAGCTGTAGTGGAAGGGAGTTTCTCAAAATGGAGAACTGTGGCTAGTGGTGTTCCACAGGGATCTGTGTTGGGACCACTGTTGTTTGTGATATACATAAATGGTCTGGAGGAAGGTATAGATGGTCTGATTAGCAAGTTTGCAGATGACACTAAGGTTGGTGGAGTAGCAGATAGTGAAGGGGACTGTCGGAGAATGCAGCAGAATATAGATAGATTGGAGAGTTGGGCAGAGAAATGGCAGATGGAGTTCAATCCAGGCAAATGCATTTTGGAAGATCCAATTCAAGAGCGAACTATACGGTAAATGGAAAAGCCCTGGGGAAAATTGATACACAGAGAGATCTGGGTGTTCAGGTCCATGGTACCCTGAAGATGGGAACGCAGGTCGATAGAGTGGTCAAGGCGGCATACGGCATGCTTTCATTCAGCAGACGGGGTATTGAGTACAAGAGTTGGCAGGTCATGTTACAGTTGTATAGGGCTTTGGTTCGACCACATTTGGAATACTGCGTACAGTTCTGGTCGCCACATTACCAAAAGGATGTGGATGCTTTGGAGAGGGTGCAGAGGAGGTTCACCAGGATGTTGCCTGGTATGGAGGGCGCTAGCTATGAAGAGAGGTTGAGTAGATTAGGATTATTTACATTAGGAAGACGAAGGTTGAGGGTAGACCTGATTGAGGTCTACAAAATCATGAGAGGTAAAGACAGGGTGGATAGCAAGAAGCTTTTTCCCCACAGTGGGGGACTCAATTACTAGGGGTCACGATTTCAAGGTGAGAGGGGAAAAGTTTAAGGGAGATATGCGTGGAAAGTTTTTTTACGCAGAGGGTGGTGGTTGCCTGGAACGCGTTGCCAGTGGAGGTGGTAGAGGCAGGCATGATAGCGTCATTTAAGATGTATCTAGACAGATACATGAATGGGCAGGGAGCAGAGGGATACAGATCCTTGGAAAATAGGCGACAGGTTTAGATAGAGGATCTGGATCGGCGCAAGCTTGGAGGGCCAAAGGGCCTGTTCCTGTGCTGCAATTTTTTGTTCTTTGTTCTCCTACAACAGCTAAAGCGTTCCCCTTGTCCTTACCTACGATCCCACCAGCGTCCACATCCAGAAGATCATCAGCCGCCATTTCTGCCACCTCCAGATACATAATCCCCTCCCCTCACTTGCCCACCTTCTGCAGGGACCATTCCCTCCAGGACACCCTGGTCCACTCTTCCTTCACCCCCAACAAGCCCCCACAGCACCTCTCCCTGCAACCGCTGAAGGTGTAACACCTGCCCATGTACATCCTCAGTATCCAAGGGCTCAAACATATCTTCCAGGTGAAGCAGCACTTCCCCACAATCTGCCTTCGCTGCTCACAATGTGGTCTCCTCTACATTGGGGAAATGAAGCAAAGACAGGGTGACTGCTTCACAGAACATTTACATTCTGCCCACAAAAAAGACCTTGACCTTCCAGGTGCCGGCCATTTTAACCCTGTTACTTGGCCAACATCTCTGTCCCAAGCTTGCTGCAGTGTTCGAGCGAAGCTCAGCACAAACTGGAAGAATGCTCCTCATTTTCTGCCCTCCAGACTCAATATCGAGTTCAATAAATTTTACGGCCTGAGCTCTCCCATGTCCTAGCCCCGTACCCTATACACCTGCCATTATACACTACCAGAACATCTTCGTTCCACTTCGCAGAACATCTACATTCTGCTCGCAAAAAAGACCCTGAACTACCTATTGCCTGCCACTTTAATGCACCACCCTGTTTCCTGGCCAACATCTCTGTCTCTGGCTTGCTGCAGTGTTCCAGTGACAACCCAACGCAAGCTGGAGGAACACCACCTCATTTTTCGCTTGGGGACCCTACAGCCCTCCGGACTCAATACCGAGTTCAATAATTTTAGGACCTAAACTCTCCGATGTCCCAGCCCCCTACCCCATACACCAGGCCTTGTTACCACATAGCCTGCGATTACACACCCTCTGTTGTTAGCCACTCACAGACTCCATTAACAGCTAATCACCTTTGTCTTTCTAACTGCTCTCTCTCTTTGGGCTCTATCCCCACTTATCGTTTACTCCTTACCCCACACCCCCCACCACCCTACCTTCCTCATATAAACCGACATTCTTCTAGCTACCATCAGTTCTGAGGAAGGGTCACCAGACCCAAAACGTTAACTCTGATTTTTCTTCACAGATGCTGCCAGACTTGCTGAGCTTTTCCAGCAACTTCTGTTTGTGTTCCTCATTTACAGCATCCACAGTTCTTCCGGTCTTTATCGCCTCTAAAGTCATTTTACCAAACACGCAAATTCAGCTTCTTCTGTTCCACAAGTGGGGTAACTGAGTTGCTCCTATCCTCACTGGCATTGCCTTAAGTTTGCTGTGGGGTATGCACAAACATAAACCTTCACTGGCCATTCTTTTCTCAATAATCAGTTGCATGCTGTCACGTTTTCAGAATTAACAATCCAGTTGAAATCTGCTAAATATGTGCAAGATGTATACTGAATTAGAAATTCACAGCCTGGATGGTTCACAATCAAAGACTGTACAGGTATTTACCACACTTTACAAACATACTGATTATGCAACAATGTCAGATTTCTTCTCTACTGCTTAGGAATTCCAGTTATGACTTCAGATGCCGGGAAAAATACGAAGGATCTTATGACCACCAAAATATCTTAAACCACAAAAGTAAAATATTAAAAAATAATTCACCAGAAGTATTGTTTGTGCAGACATGATCCATGAGAATTGTTCCAGGGGTGAGGAATTTTAATTACATGGATAGGTTACAGAAGCTGAGGTTGTTGCCCTGAGAGGAGAAGGTTGGTTGGGAATTTTGACAGAACTGTTCAAAATTACAAGGATCCTGGATAAAATACACAGGGAGAAAAGTGTTCTCGGTGACTAAAGAAGAGACAGAAGGCACCAATTTAAGGAAGCAACAGCAAGAAGAGGAAAAACATTTTCTTGCAGTACGTGGTTAAGGTCTGGATTGCTCAGTTTAAGGGTGTAATGGAAGCAGATTCAATCATGGATTCCAAAAGGGAATTAGATCATTATTTGAACACAGAATCCCTACAGTGCAGAAGCAGGCCATTCAGCCTATCGAGTACACACCAGCCCTCCAAAGAACATCCCATCCAGACCCCATCCCCCCCATTCTTATAAAGAGAAAAGAAATTTGCAGGGTTACATGTAAGGGGTAAAGGGAGTAGAACTAGTCCAATTGCTTTTGCAGAAAGCTGACAGACATGATGAATGGCCTCCTTTAGTGCTGTAACCATTCTGTGAACATTGTAGCAAATTATAAGAATTTCATTTCAAGAATTTGCTAATACTTATGAACCGATGGGCCATCATCTCATGCCCTTCAGTTACTTTTGGAGATTCAGTAATTCAATTTTTTTTGCAAAGAAATACTGCTACCTTCGCTTGCCTTAGGTTGACCAATCATCCCAGCTGGAATGGAAGGCAAACCGTCAATGTCTGTAAAATTAGTCAGTACATCTTGAAGCTTAGAGCGGTGATTTCCTGCGAATGCAATCATGGATAAAACAATGTATAAATCAGTGGAAAGGGTTTTATGCATTATTTTAGATGGCTGCACAATCTCAATGCTTACAGAAAGACAAACCCAGCCCTTCTGGCTATGGTCGGCAACATCAACTAATGCAGCACAAACACCGTGGGTCTGGACCTGAGACTTTCTAGTCTGTATGGTCTAGTTCCACATCTGAGTGAATTTACTGACTGAGCTACTGGTGGAACGTCTATGCTTTTAATCATTCTGAGACAAACAAACAGAAATCTCAAGTTATTTTTTCAACCTTGTTCAACCTTGTTGCTTTCCACTTCCCTGTCTTCTCCCCTCTATTCTATCACAGACCTCTGATTTCATTCTTCCTTTCCCTGCTTTTAAACTTGCTTAAAATCAATTGCATTTCTGTATTCCTTCAGTTCTGAAGAAAGGTCCTGGATCTGAAATCTATTACTCTCTCCACAGATGGTCTGACCACAAGTATTTCCAGCATTTTCTATTTTTATTTTAGATTTGCGGCACCCACAGTATTTCGCTTTTGTTTTACATAAAGTGCCCTCAGATGGCAAAATCCAGATTTGGCCTTATTTTTACCGAGCTCTTTGTCGTCCCTCAAACTTCTGGAATCTTCACCCCTTTCCTCTTCCTCTCCAGTCTCTAGGAAGTGAAATTCACTCAAAGCATCCACTGTTTCGCAGTCCATGGCAGGATCAGCAGCTGTCATCTCGGTGCCTATCTGTAGCAGCACACATATCACAAATAAGGTAAGTTTGCAATTCCTTTTGGAAATCAAGCAAATGCATTGATCTGAGGGGCCACCGACTAATTGCTAAAATGATCGTTTTGCTCAGCTCACCGACCAGAGAGATTTTCAAATGGACTGTTGCTTGCGATGTTGACCACTTGGGAGGTTGCCATTGAGGTAGGAGCACAGGAGATACTGCACAGTCCACTCAACAATGGTTCCAAAAACTAATAAACCTTCATTCTCACAATTCTATCCATTTAATTCACCATTAACTTTATTTGTTACTACCTGCCTGCAGGATTTTGCCTTGCAGCTTAGCTCATACCTTAATATTTTCTCAATTCTTCTTCAACCTTTTTCATTAGGCATCACAGAATATTTTCTAGTCAAGAATATGCCTTGGCTTCTAATTTTCCTTTTCCAGAAATGAAGAGAATCACTCTCAGCCTCTGCTCTATTGAGTTCTCAACTCATAACATACATGGTCAGCATTTGGAAGCCAATGAACAGTCCTCAGTCTAGGTAAGCTAGAACTCAGCAGAATGAAGTTCAATAAAACCCTGTAAACTTTTTATTAAAAGATAGGTGTCACCACTTTTAAACCAGTTTGCAACTTGAAGGAATGCATGTAAACAAACACAGGTGCCCATCAGGACAACTTACTCAAATTAATCATTTAGCAGTCTGCAAACACAAATGGCATGGTGACAGTTTTTACACATTTCACTTTAAATTTACTATACATAGTTCTGCTTACATATTCCTCACTCTTACCCAAACAACCAGCAGAAGACACTAGTTTTATGTGGTCAATTAGACAAAAATCTTTTAAAAATACAATTTTTGAGATTTATGCAGCATTAATAAATACCATCCAGAGTGTTTTCTCTTTGCCCTGAGGACGCTCACAGAATCCTACTTAAGATTGCAATTCAAAAATCAAGCTATACATGGAACTTTTCTAAAAACAGGTAATCTTAACAGTTTGAAAACAAATCCATCAATAGCTACCCTTTGTTTCTTGCTTAGTCTCTGTGTGACTGAGAGTTCAGAATGAACGCTATCTAATTCATCATCATCCTCATCACTATCGTCATCCACATTCTGGAGGAAAGGCATCTTCTCCAGTACTGATTTTCGTAGGCCATCTCGAGATTCACTGCCTGCATTTCTGAAAATGAAACAGAACACACCAGAGTCAACACAAAAGAACAGTAATTAGGAGAACAAATCACAACTTATTTTTCATTGTCTAGTCCCAAATTAAAGGCTAATTGTTGGATGAAAACAAAGAAATACAAGGAGTAGGCTGTTCTTGAACCTGCCCCACCATTCAAAAGATCACGGTCGAAATGAAATCAACGTTTACTTCATTTTCCTGCCTTGCCCACATCCCCCACCCCATTAGCAATGTCTGCTTGATCCAAATCAAACTTTAATGTATTCAAATAACCCAGTCTTTACTGTTCGGAGAGATCCAAAGATTAATTACTTTGAGAAGAAGAAATTCCTCCTCCTCTCAATCTTAAATGGGAGACCTCTTCACTATGAAACTTTATCCCCTAGTTCCAGATTTCCCCACAACAGGAAATATCCATTCAGTATGTAGCACGTCAAGCCCCCTCAGAATATTATGCTTCAAAAAGATCACCACTCATTTATAATAAGTATAGGCCCAAACTGCTCAACCTTTTCTCATAGAGCAACCTTTCCATCCCAGGAATCAGCAAAATCAACTTTCTCTGAACTGCTTCAATTGCAAGTATACTGCTCCTGGGAACAAACTTGAGACTTAGAAAGGAATCTGGCAGACACAGTGGACTACAATTTTAGTGACTAAACAATAACTCCTTTAATGTAGCTGTATCAAACACACAAACATGGTATGCTAAAGGATGTGTTTAATGGCCTTTACTCTCCGGTCTGTATTCCCTCTCTGCAAATAGCCCAGGTAGAAATGGAATTCCTTGGCCTGCTGAAGGCATCTCTGGGGTATCAGAGTATAGTCAATATTCTATTTTGTCTGCAGATGTCTGGGATCATCATATGCTAGCAAGACAAAGGAAGCAGGACGAATGTGAGGCAAACCTATAGCACTCCATGTTGTTTTGCTACTTCTTCGTCTCTTCATTATTTCAGAAATGAATTAAGTATACCTGACATCCCCAAGCTTAAAATAAAAAGTTCATACAAAAGCAAATTGAAAGGCAAGTTTAATATAGGGCATCACTCTAGTTGCCAGTCTCTGAAGCTCACATTGTTTTTCAATTAGGTGGCACAGTAAAACAAGTAGCTTCGGTGGCTTCTTTTTCACATTTCCAATTTTCAGCCCCTTTTGTTTGCAAATATCTAAGTTAAGTTACCAGACATTTTGACCTTAACCTGACTGGCTGTCTGTGCACATGCTTTCATTAGGGAACACCCATAACAATTAGGGGCAAGAGTCATCACTGGTTTTCTTCCACCCGAGCACTTGATTTCCACTGTCTCCTCTTTTTTGCATGGCTGACTGTCAGCACATTGAACTGAATTACATAGTACAGTCTGGCCAACTCAGCCAAAGGAAGAATTAATAGTTCTGATAAAGGAGGAAATAAAAGGTTACGGGGGAGATGTAGGAATTGAGGTTAATATCAGATCAGCCACGACCTTACTGAATGGTGGGGCACACTTGAAGGGCCGAGCAGCTTACTCTTGTGCCTCCTTTGTAGTTTTTTTTAAAATCAATCTGGTTGGACATTCTATGACATAACCCCGGGTAGGTGGGGTCTTGAATCCAATATTGTGGTCCAGAGGGAGGTAACACTATCACTTTTCCACAATACAACCGAACGACAATGCCTTGATATATTTGCAGACAGTCGTGTTAAAAATAACAAGGGCTATTGAAAACGAAATAATATGCTCTTGGCACCATAGCCACCTCCTCGCAGAGCAGACATATTAGCCATCTGTTTCAAACCACAAGAATCCTTCCTTATGTACTGTATTATCCCCACCAACTGAAATCACAGGAAAACCTTCCCTGTCTCCCAACGTGGCTTCTGGTAAAGCATATTACATTGAACCTTCCCAAAAAAAGTGGTTGTGAAATGATTGTTGGAGCTCAGTGATTAATCATAACATTCAAATGAGAGGGCTAATCAACTAATGGGAGAGGCGTGCCAAAAGTTAACAGATGAAGAGCCACAAATCTGAAAAGGATCAAGGCCCAATTATTTGTGTTCCTCCAACTGAATTCAAAACTAATTGACTTTTATCCCCACATTTAATCCAATTTTCTCTTTCTAACTCCTTCCTGTCCTCCTACATTCCAAAAGGTAGCTTGCTCTCAAGTTTCTGACAATATCCGTTTGTGAGGAGACACCAAAAGAAACCTGAGGTCATTGCCAAACAGTTTGCTTTCTGCTCGATGCAGCTTCATTCTTGATCACGATCAAGAATGAGAATTGCACTAACAAGCAATTGTCTTGCCATGTCTCCAAGAGTTTTGTCTGCAATAGACGAATCCCACAGATGTTCACAGCTCAAGTAACTAAAAATCACAGTATGTGCCAGAAAATAAGTCCGAGTTAGGTATTCACCTCTTGATCTGTTCCTCTATTTGCTTAACTAAGGGTGAATCTCCTCCATTTAGGATCTGTCCCAAGCTGTTGGACTCCGCTGCTCCATTGTGCTCTGGGCTGGAATGGCCCAACATGGATCGGACCCGTTTTGTCCGCACATCCAAGATAGTGTCTGTATAACCCACTTCTTGCAAATATCTAAAAGCACAGCACACAGTTGAATTAGATGCATAAAATTTACAAGCAACAGTACAACACCTTCATGAAGGGTTTCGAATATTTCAATCCACCTTTTAGATAGAATTCTATGATTCTTTGCTGTAAGTAGAATCATTAATTTAAAAAGACATAACAGGGTGTAGAGCTGGATGAACACAGCAGGCCAAGCAGCATCAGAGGAGCAGGAAAGCTGATGTTTCGGGCCTTGACCCTTCTTCAGAAAAATTAATTTAATTTAATAATTTAAAAGGCTGTTTCATGCATAAGAAATGGAAACCATCAAGCATTAGAATATCAGGGGCAGCAAAGTGAATAAAGCAAAACGCCAAATTATGAGAGTTCTGATGGTGACACCAAAAGAGAAAGATTTAGGAAGGTTTCGATGGATATTTGAAAAGGAATGCAGGAAGGAAAAGGCACTTAGGTAAGGATGTTCCAGAGGAAGATCGATATAACTATTTTTAGGTGGCCAGAACCAGACCAAATGGAATGGGTTAGATTTTTTGAAGCCATTAATATAATGCTTTATCAGAACTGTCAAAATTTTTAAAAAAAGACAAATTGGGTAAAAGTCACATTAAGTCATTAAAAAAGCTTCACTCTGTGGAACATAATAAAGTATACAAATTTCAATAGAGAAATCAGCTCAATTCTCATATGAATGTGATGTTGGGAATGAAATTACAGAATAGAGTATGCACATTTACCAGACAAATTCATTTTTGTAGTGATCATTCATTCCAGTTAATACTTCTACGATACTTCTGGGTTTGATGCGATGTACCGCATCTCCTTGTTCTGGTAAACTAATACCCACCTTTAACCTTCTTTTGCTCTTCATACTCATTGTAAACAGAGCCTTTGTTTCCAAATGTTTATGTTTGAACCCCTCCAATAAGATTTCCTGAGCACTCAGCATAGAAATGGCCATATTGAGTCATAAATGGCATTTTACTTGGCGGTGGTTAGCTATCCCTCCTCATCCTGTTTGATGTACCTGGCTAAACATACCATCATCCTACAAGATCTCCCCTTCATTGTCCAGTTGGGTGGGACTGTCCATGCCAGGTGGGGCTGTCCATGTCTGGGTCCACCTTTATCCGTTCACTTGTAGCTAAAGAATAACTTACAATCATTTCACTTTCTGCTTCTGCACCATCACTTATGGAATCCCCAATGAATCTACGCTTAGCTTTCTCTTCCTCATCCATGTGCTATCCTTCAGCAACATCATCTGACAACCCAACATCAGGTCCCACCTGATAACATCCAGCTCTACCTTGGCACCACCTCCCTTGGCCTTCCCTCTCACTGTATGATTTGTCAGGCTGTTCAACTGGATAACCAGATTTTCCAACAGAAAAACTGTGGGAAAACTGGTGACTTCAATCTGTGACCTAGATTCTATTTCCCAGGCATCAATTCCTTTCTCTTGGCACCGCGTGTTGCTGTATTTTACTGCTCGCAACCTTAACACCTTGATAAACCAGGTAACAAGCTTTCAATTACCACTGCTCCATTGACTAAAACCATGGACTTCCACCATGGTCATAGTTAAACAATGATATTAATCAGAGGTAAAGGTAGTAAGGGGTTTGACAAAGGGAGTACACTTCAAAGCATTCTGAGACAATATTAAGGGCATCACCAAGCCTGCTTTCCAGCTGCTTGCATAAGTGGAGCAAATGTTTCCAGTTGAAACTTTTCTAGGAATATCGAGGACTTGGTAGACAACAGTGACATCTGAAGCACAAAATGGTCACCATTATGGATCTGGCTCGTGTGGCAAAATGCCAACAATGCACTGTAATTTAAAAGTGTGTTCGTCCAAGATTTGACAATGTATGCAGACACATAGTCACTTTAGATTGTGCGACGTGTTACAATGCAAATAGGTTGTTCTAGTTTAATGGAAGATACCAATCATGTAGGAGATGGTAGTAACAGAGATGATCTGTAGTAAAATATTCAATGCCAATAGCTTGCAAGCTTTTTTGCCTTTGTGGGTAATTTAGCATGGAGACTTACAGACCACATGTACAGTTGATCTGGAACTGGAACATGATCTTCCAGTTTAGGATTTATCCATAATTGAGGAAATACCTCCAAGAACAGCCTGTTCCAAACCCTTAGGCCACAGAATTCATTTGAAATTAACGAACCAATAAGTGCTAAGAGAATGGAGTTGCCTCAGTTTCGTGGGCTGGTTTGACAGAGTGACAAGCCACTCTTGGCCCAATGGTTTTAGTTGGGTACATTTGTGTAGTATTACATATTCTGTCGTGGGATTTTGTATCTCTATACATCAGAAACTGCAGGTAACAGGGATGTGTACTTACTGCCTCAGCAGCTGCCGCCCTTCTTTCCAAGACAATGGACTATTCTGTTCCAAAGTTGATGTATCGGGGCCATTATTTATAACTGAGAAGATAAAGTACAGAGTTGATTTATGGCTGTAGAACATTGTACATTCCAAAATGACTTTAAATTACAAAGAAGGACATACCACATTAAACTCTTGTTTAAATTGGTTAATTACATTCTTAGCCCAAAATTACACTGATAAAATTATTTTAATTTTGTTTTTTTTTGTTGTGGGAGGGAAAGCGCAGGGCGAGTTATTTTAATCCAATTGCCATTTCTTTGTTGTATTCAACTTTTATCCTAAAGCCAAGTGAATGCACAGGAGCTCTGCAAGAGAATGGATACGTTAAAATAGAGAAGAGCTGCATATTTTTCTGTTTCGAGTTCTACAGTACCTCAGTACAAGACCGTGCACCCAGATGGCATTTTAGGAACGGACCTGTCCTGTGCAGAATTGAGCATGCAAACCAGGACAGTTTGGTTTGTGCTGAGTTGGTTGTATCTCAGCCACAGTGACTATAAGCCTGTTACAATAAAAACTGTGTGGTAGGGAACAGGAGGAGGAGACATTTTCCCACCTAATGTCTCTACCAGGAAAGATGAAAAGGGTATGGGCACTGGCTGAAGGTAAGATCAATTTTATTAATGATGATTCACACAGTGAAATAGCCACCCAACCAATTCAAGAATGGAGACTTGAACACATCATTGGACAGCAGCATGGATCTATGGAAACATAGCCCAAAATGAGTCAGTCTGTGGCTCAGGGAAGGAAGTTAAAGGAAAACAAGAATGAAATAATTTCAAGAGAAAAACAGAAACCTCCATAAACAGATTCAATATTCAAGAAAATGTTGCAGATTGCCTATTGTGCATGGAGAAACAGAAGTAACATGAAGAGGCTATAATAGGAACTGAAGGCTTAATAAAAATTGTCTGTATCTGAAAGCAGGAGACAATGGCAACGGAGGCAACTCGGCAGGAACTTCAGGTACTTGTTCAGTAATTCTGGTTTCAAGTGTTGGGAGAATATTAATCTTATAAAGGAATTAGTAGTATGACAACATAAGCCTATGATACACAATGGGAATAAAATATTGTGTTACTCCACTGTACTAAGATGTAATTATTGTACCACAATGCAGCTGGCCAAGGTTCATCATTCTAAGCATTGGTACATATTTTAAAGGCTTTACCATAATAATTTAAAGTGATACTTATTTTGTGACAACTGCTAATGTTTTGTATATTTGTTTCCGAGTTGTAGTTAAAACCAGTCATTTACTGTTCACTCTTAGTTTTCTTATTGGAGGCTCCTCTTTGTAAACCACTGCAACAATTGTGCTGATGGTGCTCCGACATGTTAAGTTGGGATTTCCAGGATACTGGCACAGCAAATACATAGCAACATCAATCCAGTTTCAAGACAAGATGCTTGGGAACTTGAGAGATGATGGCAATCTCACAACACCAATACTCTTGTCCTCCTCAGTGAAAGATATCAAGGTGAAATAACCTTGGTCAGGAACCTTGGTGTATATACTGCAGCCATGGTGCATTAGTGGTTGAGAACTCATTATTCACATGAACTGCTCTGCCATGATGAACAAGCTTCTCAGATGTTGATGCAATTACAGGTAGATGATAAATGTTCCATCATTTTTATCCTGGAAATGGTGGTGAGGCCTTGAGGCATCAAGAGGTGGGTACCTGACAAACAGTAATTGGTGGAACAACAGCTCCAATTGAGAATCTGGTCAATGGTGAGCCTCCTGCCTCTCAAGATAATGACAATGGAACACTGTTCAGTGGTGCTGCTGTTAAAATGTTTAAGATATGATGACTGGGTTTTCTTTTATGACCATTTCCTGGCACTAGAGCAGGTCATGCTGTGGGATAGCATCGGCAATTTTATTTTTCGAGGAGCTGCGACTGGATCTGAACACTGATGATCACAACATTGGGATAAGGCATATGAAGGTCACTGACAAGAGGATGCCTCTCCAAAAAACCTCTGCAATGATGTCCTGGGACTTTATTGGCTCACAACCATGATCTTATGCCAGGTAATACTCAAGCCACTATAAATTGTTCCCATCACCCAACAAGCCCAGTTTTCTTCAGGCTCCTATGTACCACACTTAATTAAATGCTGCCTTGATGTTGCATGCATTTGGTCTGGCATTTGAATCTTTCATCCAAGTCTGAATCAAGGTCTATGTTCTTGAACAGAGTGACTCTGGTAAATCCAAAATCCAAACTGATCATGTTGTTGGCGAGTAGTTGTCATTTTAAGTTAACCATGTTATTAATGACAAGGAGACAATACCGTTATTGGGCTTTATCTTCAGCATTTGTCAGGGAAATTACATAACTGCAATTTTCCGGTATACTTATACCAAATGCCTTGTAACTCTTAGAAATGTGTTTAAAGAGCAATTGGACATGTATCTTTGAAAATCAACAGTACTCCACCAGTAGGCAAGCCTGGAACTGTGCAATGAACAATTTCAAATTCCAATGTGTTTACGCCATGCTCTGGAAACACAAGTAGTTACTCCACCTAACTCTACTTCACACAAAATTATGTTTGAATTTCACATCAATTGTGCTCACAAGAAAATTCAACCTATACAGGCCCAGACTTATCGCTACTCTTTCAGTTGCTTCTTAAATATAGAAGCAGAAATCTCTCTCTATCTGTTACACAGTGCAGAAGATTTCACATTCAATTTCCAGTCTGATTGGGATTAACTGATCTCCATCCGGTGAGGTAAATGGGGTTGCTACAACTGGCATTCAATCCCGAGATTAAGAATGACAGGATAAAAAAAACCTACATGAGCCCGGCTGCAAAGTGATGCGTGTGCACAAATTGTAATTATCAATTTCTAGACAGGGCACACAGATTTGGAGACATATCAACAAGTGGAAACAATCACTGCGTAAGTAGTGAAATGTAGTAGTTAAACTTTAGTGATACAAATTCAGATTTAATATCTGTTCCTTCCCTAATTCTGAAATCTGAATGATTGCAAGTTGTATGAAATTTTGAAATGCCAAGGACATAAAATCCCGATACAATGGTGATCTGGATGGATAAAAACAATGAATGACAGAATTCATTCTAGACTTGGACCATGCCTGAAGAGGGCATTTAAAGCTGTATAATACGTCAATGAAGCAAGATCAGTTACATGTCTTTTGTTGGTGATCATGGGATCTACTTGAGGTAAAGAATTAAAGCATTACAAATCATATTGATTTATGTATGGTTGTCTTCTTTTAATATATGAGTAACACAATATTAAATAAGAGCACTGTACAAATGTATTTATCATGAGGTGACAATTCACAGCACATAATCAATATATGCAATAACCCTTGATAAAGTGGTGGAAGTAGGATCATTTAAGAAATAATTGGATACTGAAATAGAAAGATAGTCAACTCTGTTACTGGACTAGTAACCCAGTGGTCCAGGATAACACTGGGGACATTGATTCAAATTAAACCATGGCAGCTGGCAGAAATTGAATTCAGTCAACAAGTCTGGAATATATAAAGCTAATCTCAGTAATGATGACCATAAAGTTATCATTAATTGTTTAAAGAAAAATTCAGCAATGCCCTTTAGGGAGGGAAGTCTGCTATCTTTACCTGGTCTGGCCTACATATGACTCCAAACCCACAGCAATTTGGATTCTTAACTGCCTTCTGCAATGGCCTTGCATGCCACTGAGTTCAAGGGCAATTACTGATGGGCAGCATGTGCTGGACCTGTCATCAACAGCCACATTCCATCAAAGAATAAAAACGGTTTTTCAGAAAGGTGAAACTAAGTTGAGCCAAAAGACCTTCTTTAATTTCAGTAGTTTCTAATCCCACAAATTTCTACATTTACCACTGTTAGTCCAATTTTATAGAAAATGTCTTAAATGAAGAAAAGCTGTTGGTTTCTGTAAAATGGTCCCCATTCACTGAGAAGCCACCTTGAACTCTAACTGAACATAGTGGATTTTAAAATGGTCAGTAGATGCACACATCTTAGAGGAGGCCAAGTGACAATGACAATACCACAATAAGTGGAAAGAGCATCAGCATCGAGTGTCTGCAGGCAGCCTGCAACTTCAAAAGTGCTGTATAAATGGTCATTGTTGGGATTGAGTTATGCAGGAAATTCTAGTGGGAATAGATTGGCGCAATCAGAGTAGCAGCAGTTAAAGAGGAACTGCCGACATGGCAAAGACTATGACCAAAACTGCAGGTCGCTTAACCTATCAACGCTGTACACCTGCAAAAATGTCATTTTAACTGAAGGTACGAAACACTTTCAGGCAAAAATGTGTATACTTTTTCAAATGTACCAGAATCAGCTGTATCTGTCTTTGAGTCACCTTGAACTGGTTCCGTTCCATACTTCAGCTTGTGATATTTTGTCCTAGAAAAGAAGCGAAATGAAGACGTTCTAATGTAATATTAAGACATGATAGTTACATGAGTAAAGCACCTGACTTGGGAAAAAGGAAATTCAAAAAAGGATAATTGAATTTTGGACATGAATTTGGACATAACCTGGGGATTTACTTCTCTGAATCCAAATGCTCCCCAACAATTAAGGCTGTGCTAAATTTTAAATGGCATTTTTAATAAAAACTTCCTTTCTTATTTGAGTAAGTTGTTTTCAACACATCTTGAGCAAACTGGCCTTATTGGGATAAAGAGTGATTTTCAGCAGCATCAGCAGCCTCTAAGTACCTCTCTCATTCTTTCCATGAATGGTGGCAGACTCATTACAATGGGTAGCAGCACAACAGAGGCCAATGTCATGGCCAGTCAATATCGCTGCATACTTTCCTAAAGTAAAGGGATGTCCAATTAATCAGAAGCAGGAACTCTGGTTGACATTTAAAAAAATACACTATGAGACATGGTTGAAAGGCCAACAGACCGCTATTCATGTGAAGTTTTCCTACAGTTATTCAAAGCAAGTTTCCTTCTTCTCCGCTTCCCTCAACTTTGCACAAGCATGTGAATATCCTTTCTTACGGAGCAGAACTGAGCTTACATTTTGTAATGCACCATTACCCAATTTAGTTTTTGTTTCAAGTTTGAATGCAACAAAAAATATGATTTCTCAGCTGAGGTAGCTCAAAGGGTAATTAATAACCTTGTTGTAAAGCAATCTTCAGGAATAATGATCACAATATGGCAGACTTTTCCATTATGTTTGAAAACGATGTAGTTCAATCTAAAAGTAGGGTCTTAAACCTAAAAAAGTAGTATGCTCTATATATATAGTTTGGATTTCAAACACATGGCACATGGGTGTTGTTTACTTTTGCGATAAGTTAGATCAGTCAGTCTTTCTGGAACCGTGATCTAATCCAGTGTCAGATAACAGGGAACCCTTGGAGTGTTAATGGAAGATTGTTAATATTATGCTATATTTATAATTGGGAGTGTAAACAGTGAGGGCTACTACCTTGTTTCTGGTTTAGGATAATCAAGATTGATTTTGACTTAGGAAAACCAGAGGCTGGAAGTTTTTCAGTAGTTTGGAGGAGATCCAACTGGGTTTCCAAAGCACAATAAATTTTATCTCCCAGAAAGGAGTATAGAACAGTTCAGGAAATAAGTTACCTTAGTTATTTTGAGTAACTTCCAGACCAGGATTGGTTAGAAAACTGCCGATTATTAAAAGACCCAGCTAGTACAAGCTTTCAGTTTTGAGAGTATGCATAAGGCAGCTTCACAGTTCACAGGAAAGAACTGGAAAAAGAAAGTTGAGCCAAACTTAAAAAATTCGAGATAGAGGGGTAATGTCTCTGCATTTGACATTTAAAATGATAGAGTTGGGGAACTGACGAAAACTTTGCTATGTGTCTTAAGATCTTTCAAATGACGTTCAGTATTGAGATAGCTTTGTTTTAAGTTATTGTTTTTCCTTTTATGTAATATACTTCTGGCTTATTGTTAAAAGAAAACCCACTGACTTGTGTGCTTATGTTTCAGTGAATGATCACCATGTTAAAGAATAGGAAAATTATCTATCAAACTAAGTTTCATTCTGGGATCTGACTTGGCCAGTAGTAACAGCAGCTGGAATAATAACAAAGAGCAATTTTGAAGCACGAGGATGATATCGGCTATGATGGATTGGAAAAATACAATAAAAGGTTTGAGAGGCTAGTATTTAATTGATGCTTAGTTTTCAAAAGCCATACAATCCTTTAAGGCAAAGGCTTTGTTCTCAAAAGCCGTACAATCCTTTAAGGCAAAAATACCAAATAGGAAAAGAATCAGAGCCATAGCTAACAAGTTAAAGATGATTTTAGATCAAAGGAGGTAGCTTATAAAGTTGCCAAAAAAAAAGTGTAAGCCTGATGATTGGGGGAATCTTAAATTCACTAAAGGAGGACTAAAAAAATTCAGAGAATAAAATATGAATGTAATATAGCAAGAAACATAAAAATGGATTACAAAATCTTCCATAAGCATGTGAAAAGGAAAAAATTAGTAAAGACAAATGCGGATCCGTCACAGGCAGAGACAGAAGAATTTAGAATGATGAAAGGTGTATAATGTATTATTATTTTTAAAATTTAGTTTCTTTTAAAGAAGGAGACAGATAGATTTTGGTCAGTTCTGTACAGTTTTTTTTAAATTAAATAGAGCAGAATATCAATCTGACAGTGATCTGAGTGCATCAGTTCCAAGATGATACACAGTCAAATGCCCCGAGAGCTCCTGTGGTGTTAATCTCTTGATAAAGTCCCACACAGGGGATTAATAAACAAAATTAAAGCATATAATACTGGAAGTGATAGCATGGATTAAGTATTTGTTAATAGGCAGTTTGCAAAGAATAGGAATAAGTGGATCATTCTCATGTTGACAGGCCCAGACTAGTGGGTATCACAAGGACCTGTGCTTAAGCCCCACCTGTTTGGAATCCATATCAATGATTTACATGTAGGGGTCACTTGTACCAGAACCAAGTTTGCAGACATTACTAATGCAAATTTGATGGGAATAAAAGCTGAGACGGGTCACAAAGAGGCTTCAAGGACATTTTGACAGGCTGAGTGAGTAGGCAAGAGCACAAAATCTGTAATACAATATGAATAAATTCTAGGTTAGAAAGAATGAAGATGTGGAATATTTCTTCAATGGTGTCAGATTGGAAAGCATTGATAATCAAAGGAAGCCAGGTATCACTCATTCGTCATTGAAAGATAGCATGCAAGCAACTTTGAAGGCTAGCCTTTGTTGCAAGAGGATTTCAGTACAGTAGCAAAGAAGTCTTGTTTCAATTGTATACAACATTGGTGAGACTGCACCTGGACTATTGTGCGCCGTCTTGGTGCCCTTGCCCAAGGGGGGAAATACTTGCCATAGATGGAGAGCAGTGGAAGTTCAATTCAGCGATTTCTGGGATGGTGAGGAGAGATTGAAGAGATTGGCCTGCCTTCTGTGCAAATTAGTAGAATGAGCAGTGATCTCATACAAACTTATAAAATTCTCAAAATGTTAGACATGTGGAAAGGACGTTTCCCTGTCTGTGGGGTCTAGAACCAGGGTACACAGTTTCAGAATAAAAGGTAAGCCATTTCAGCTAAGATGAGGGGGAAATTCTTCACTCAAAGGGTGATGAATCTTAGGAACTGTCTACCTCAGAGGGTTCTGAAAGCTCAGTCATTAGGTATATTCAAGAGAGATTGATAAATTTCTAGCTACTGATGACATCAAGGGATATGGAGTTAGCACAGAAGTGTGGCATTGAGCTAGATGATCAGGAATGATCTAGAATACAAACATACAAAACAGAAGCAGAAGTAGGCCATTTCAGCCTCTTGAGCTTGCTCCAGTGATCAAAAAGATCATGGCTGACTTGTCTGTATTTCAAATTCCACATTCCCAATTACTCTAATAACCCTTGACTCCCCTGCCTAATAAGAATCTATACATCTCGATTTCAAAAATATTCAGTGACCTCACCTCTATTTCTTCCTGAGGCAGAGCGTTCAAAAGTTGCACAATCCTCAGCGAGATAAAAAGAAATCTCCTCAGCAGCGTCCCAAAAGGGTGAACCCAACCCCTAATTTTAAAATAGTATTAATCCTAGTTCTGGATTGATCCACAAGAGGAAACATCCTGTCCACATCCACCTTGTCAAGACCATTCAGGATCTTATCAACCAAGTTTCAATCAAGTCACCCCTCACTCTTCTAAATGCCAGTGAAATCAAGCCCAGCCTGTCCAAACAATCCTGCTCATTCGAGGCATCTACCTAGTAAATCTCTTCTGAACTGCCTCCAATGCATTTAAATCTTCCTGAAATAAAGGAGCCCAAAACTGCATATAATACTCAAGATACAAGCAGTCTCATAGATACCCTGTTTTACTACAACATGAAATCCTTACTTTAGTGTTTAAAGGATAGCATCCCATGCATGCTCTTGATTACCTGCTGTACCTGCATACTAACTTTCTATGATTCATGTATCAGAACACTTGAATCCCTTTGCATCTCAGAATTTTGCAGTTTTTCTCCATTTAAGTAATACCCTGCCAAAGTGGACCATGCTCTCCTCATCTAAGTTATTGATGTAAACATTTACAAAGTTGAAGCCCCAGCACAGACAACTGCAGGACCCTACTTGTCAGATCCTACTGAGCAAACAAAGATGCATTTCTGCCAGCCAATCTTCTACCCATACTAATATGATACCACCTCTACACCACAATTTTTTATTTTCAGCAACTTCCCTTGATCATAGAATCACTACAGTGCAGAAAGAGACCAATCGGCCCCCAGAGTCTGCACCAACCCTCCAAAGAGCATCCCACCCAGACCCACTCTAGCCCCGTAACTCCGCATTTACCATGGCTAGTCTATGTAGCCTGCACATCCCTGGACACAATGGGGCAATTTAGCACGGCCGATCCACCTAACCTGCACATCTTTGGACTATGGGAGGAAACCAGAGCACCCAGTGGAAACCTACGCAGACATGCAAACTCCACACAGTCACCCAAGACTGGAATTGAACCAGTGTTTCTGGCGCTGAGCTGTAGCACCTCATTCCACACTTTCTGGAACTCCAAGTACATTATGTCTAAACACTCCATTTAATCTGCGATTCTCCTTCAAAGAATTCTAATAAATTGGTTAAATATGATTATCCTTTGACGAAACCATTCTGACTCTTCCCAATTACATTCAGTTTTTCTACATGTGTAGCTGCAAGCTCTTTAATGGTTAATTCAAACACCTCTCCCACCACAGATGTCAAGTTAACTGGTTTACTAGTTTCTTGCCTCCATCCTTTCTTGAATAGAAAAGTTTTACTTGTTACATTCTAATTCGAAGAACATTTCCTGAATCTAAAGAATTCTGGAAAATTAACACCAACCCACCTACCAGCTCATGAGCAACCTCTTTAGGCCTGAGAGTGACGTCTATCCGGACCCCATGACTTGTCAGCCCATCAGTTTAGTTAGAACGACTTGCCTTGTGATTCTAATTTTGCTAAGTTGCTCTCTCCCTTCCACCTTGTGATTGATACAGCTATTAAGGGATTTTTAAATTCTCTACCATGAATACAGAAAGAAAATATTTGTTCATTTCATCTGCAAGTTCCTTATCATTCTATTAACTCCCTATTCTCAATCTCTATGAATCAGCACACACTTTTTGCTCTTTCCCTTTTAAAAGCCTGTAGAAACTTTTGCTATCTGGAGTTTTTACATACCCAGTTAGCTTCCTCTCATAATCTAATTTCTTCCTCCAGATTAATCTTTTAGTCATTCTCAACCATTCTTTATATTTTGACCAATCATCTGACCAGGTTGTAAATATTTATCTTAAGTTTGACACTTTCCCAAATTCTTTAGTTAACCACACATGGCGTATCCTTCTTTAGATTAATTTCTTCATAATAGGAATGTACTTACTCTGAAGCATCCTCTTAAATGTCTGGCACCATGCCTCTATTAGTCTATCTGCTAGCCAAGGATGCCAGTTCGTTTCAGCTAGATCAGCTTTCATGCCCACATAGTTGCTCTTATTTAGGCTTAAAATACTAGTCTTAGACCTAGTCATCTCCCTTTCAAACTGAGTATGAATTTGCTTACATTGTTAGCTTTTAGTTTTTTTGTCACCTTTGGAACATCAAGTCTTGACTGCTGTTGTACTACTAGGATATTTTTCTCCCTGTACCTTCCCGTCATTCTCTGACACTCAATTCCTATATTAGCAATTTCCTCTCTCAACTTTTCTCGAATTCTTGAAATGCTATATATCTGTCTACCACTATTTTGTTAAAAACTCTCTTTACTTCCCACATTATACAGTTCACAAGAACATGAGCCCCAGCAATTATGAGGTGTAGACCATCCCAAAAGTGCAGCCCCTACTGGCTCAATGACTGGTGTGAACAAGAATAGCAGAGCAGGATCAGGGGACTGAACAGCCTACTTGTGCTGTTCCGGAGTTCCTATTCATGGATGATCCATACTTCAGTTTACAAAGCTTACCTTTCCTGCTTTAAGGCATATTCCAGCATCTTAATTCTCCGGACCAGATCCTTCTTAAGATTCTCCTGTCCTTTCCTCTCTCCTTGTAAAAAGGCTACACGTGCCTTTAAAATATAAATGCAGATTTCAATCAGTAAAATTGTGGGAGATAGTGCTGCAATTAACTTTTGTTATGGAGCAGGTAGACATATTGCAATGTTTTGAAAAATAGCGGAGAAGTTCTCCCCAGTGCCTTGATTCAGGAAGCAGCAGTGCTAGGCTCTTCTGGCAACTGGGAAAGTTCTGGCACCAAGGATCACAATCTTCAAATAATGTCCTTGCTGTAGTGCCAGGAAATGTTTCCTGCAATGCAAAAAGCAGGAATCTCAAAACCAGAGGACGATGTTTTTGCAGGATGCTTATGTAAATGTTATGATTGAGAAAACTTAATACATCAGAGCAATTCACAATCCAAGTTGTTTCAGATTAAGATTTTTTTGTAGCTATTTGGTAAATATGGCACCCATTCTGCATTCATTTCTTATCACAAACAGCTAGAAGATTAACAATTAGATCATATGTACTCTTTGGTGGCATGTCTGACAAGACATTGACCAGGCATTGGAAGAATGTCCTCGGTTCTTTTATATTTGAATTATCACCAAAGAAGGCAGGTTCAGCAGCTCACCTGAAGAATAGATCATCAAACCATGTAGCACACCCTCATTACTATAGAGATAATACATTTAGGTCCTTAAGAAAGGGTTTAACAACAACCAGACACAAAAATAACTACATAATGAGAGTCAAATATCAACAAAATTGTTTAAAATTATAGCTACATAACAATCCAGCAGTAATTTAAAAGCAATTTTTTAAAAGGGTGCATTATCCCTTCATTCATACCAGAATTTTCTTTAATGATGTCACATTTTACTGCAGTTTAAATTGCTGGCATTTCTATTGATGGATGCTTCTTGTTATTTAGACCCTCGGATAAAAAGCCTGAGCAGCTCCTCCTGTCAGTCACTGACTGCTCCTCAGACTAGCTACAGATCAATTTCCAAAGCTGTCATTAGAACTTAAGTGAAATGCCAATGATGGATGTGTAAAATTATTCCCACTTGAACTTGTGAAAAGTACCGACAATATAATTAACTGCAAAAATCTTGACCTCCTGAATGCGGCTGCTACACAAAAGAGGCATTTTCAGTTTAATAACAATACTAAAGTGCTAGGGTATTGCAGAGTGGAGGTTTAGACAGTATTCATGTATATTGGCTCAAGATTAATTCTTCCTAAAATGCATTATCAACACATTAAACAAATCAGTGATAACATGGTGCGACAACGGTTAAAAATAAATCAAACAACATATACTCTGCACATATTTAAAATACTATGGGGTTTGTGAAAATGACGCCATGTGATTGGCGAGATATATATCAGTTACTTTCCTACAAGCCGAAACTATTGTTCAGTTAGTCATTTTTTTCTCCCCCAACTAACTTTCCCTCTCCTTGGCTGAATCCATCAATTCTTTCAAGAACATGTTTTCATAAATTGGCAGGTTTCTAGCACCTTTGGTACAGACCTTTTTTTAATGTGAGAACCAGGCTTTCCTTCAATGGTTGCACTCTCACCCATGAGTGTTCCATGCCCAATTTAAAGATGGAAGAATATATTTTAGGCCAGCATTCCAGGTGGCCACTATGAAAGATCCTATGACATGGTTTTCCAAACATTTTCCCACTTTGACAACATTTCAAGGCTGGAAATATCCTTGCAATCCCGCAATGAGAACTGAGAGAACAGGGGTCTGGTCAGAGTAGGATACAGCCTTTACAACTATACCAAAGATCCAAGGCAGCTATTGTACCTTAGTCTACAAATTAGTTGCAATTCATTGTCTGATGTGCTCTAGGGTGTCCTGAAGTTGTGAGAGATGTTATATAAAAATGCAAATTCTTTACTTCTTTTAACAGTTTATGACATAGGCAATTTGATTTTCCACAACACCAAGACTGAAGTCAATTAAAGCCTTACGATGTGTCTGAACGCTCAAACTTATCTGGCTTATTTGCATGTTGCCCATATCAACTTAGCCAATAGGAAAGCTTCTAAAAAAATGTTTTTTTTTAAACCTACTTTTGCCTTGGCACATTGCTGGCATAAAAGAAGCACATAGGCAAAATAGTACCTTCACCGCAAACTGTAGCTGTAATACAATGGTGCTATTGACAACCATCTGTCACGTAAAAGGTGTAAGACTCTAGCATATGCCAGGGCCCTTCTCATTTGCAAAATTGACCACTGGCATTCATTATACTTGGCTATAATCCACAATGTCTGGAACCATTAGCTGAAACTAACCCAGACCTTTGAACAAGAATGATAACAAACTGTGGGAGTCAAATGTATAAATAACCAACAAAGCTGTTTATTTCAAATGGATATTATATCATGTGGTGCAGCTCAAGCTTTATATACAGAGAGCTTAATATTGCCAAAAGCTTCAGATGACATCACATGGCTGCTCCTCCAGCCAAGGAACAAGGAGGTTTGAAGATGGGGGGAAAATATATACAAACATGATTTTCTTTTTAAAAGAAGAAAGCTAACTTCCTGGGTAGCTGATTGGATAAATGATCTGCCTTCACTCCAGCAGTGGCATCAGCTGTAAGATACTTCATCCTGTTTTGGGCAACTCCTTCAGCCAAGCTGTCTCCTCAGCTGTACTCAAAAACCTCCACACATCCTTCTCCTCCCACCAGGTCATTTCCCCTCCCCATTTCCTACTCTAATTTTATTTCTCTCCTTCTCCTTCCCACCTTGCCTCCTTTGTAAATCATTTTGTGGTATTTTGCTTCAGGTGAGAAATCTGACAATTGTAGAAATGAAATGCAAATTTCAATATAAAAATTTAAATGATATTTTGATTTTGACAGGAATGCTTCAATGCATCAGATGCTGGATTTTTCCCTTTAGACACCATGGCAGATTGATGGGATGAAGCAGCTGTTTAAGTTCACTGTAAAGAAGTTTTAAACCAGTTTCCGGTAAACATTGGTCCACAGTACAAAGTGTCCTCTTGTGACAATATTAACCAGGACATAAGGTGGTTAGTGTTGGAAATGCATTTCAAACTGCTCTCTTTTCTAGCAACGAAGACCTCAATGTTTAACTGAATAAGCAGGTAGAGGGTTACCACGAAGTTTTCTAGTGCTTTTTACCCCTGTTATAAATACCCCTGAATTTGACTAGAATAAAATTTATGCATAAAAAGTCATTTTAAAAGTCAATAACAAGTAGTTATGCATTTGCAAGAATATAGTTTCTTCAGCAGTATTCTATAATTTCAAAATCAGAAGTACACAAATGTTCAGTATTTCCACCAGATACTGCTGACCATCAAGCTCAGGTTGTGTTGAGCAGCAAAGCAGGCATCTACTGCAGACAATTGTTTTGAGACTTCCTTACTGAACTGAGGAACACTTATTCTAACCAGTTGTTTACACCTCACACAAGTACTTTGGTGAGCAATGAAGAAAGAAAACAAAGGAGGAAATACTTTTAGGCACTTTACAGCATACTATTCTGAACGTTGAGGTGTACATATTCAGACCACGAACACTGACTTCCATTGTGAACCCCTCACCAATTGTCTGGTTCTTTTTGTATTTGCTTTCAGCAGAGCTATTCTATATTCTGCAACTAACTGCTATTCTCGACATATGCTGTTTCTCTACAATCATTTTGTTTTGATACCTGTCACCTTCAATATCCTCCACCCTCTAATATTCATTTGACTTTCCCTTCTCTTCACCTGCCCTTCCCTATCTTTCGTTACAGTACAAAAGCCATCACTTTTCCAGCTCACTCGTCAGTTCCAAGGACGTGTCATATTGCACGTGAAATGTTAATGTTAAACAGCTGCTACCAGACCTGCTGAGTTCCTCCAGAACTTTCTATTTTTATTCCAGATCCCCACTATCTGCAGCATTCTGCTTTTCTATGACTACTTGATTGCAGGGTTGGTTTTGCTCAACCACTGCATACAGGCACATTGGCTTATCCAATCACTGCAATAAGAACAACGGACACTGATCTGATCAGTAACAAAACGAAATCAGCCATATTCGCCAACAAGTTGCACTTTGAGCAGGCATTAGGAAGGTGAAGAGATCAAGAGATTCCTTTGCTAATCCATATCCAATGCCTTCTAGTGGAAAATGTACATTTTAAGCCACAGACAAGACTGGGCCCATATTCCGCATTGGTAATGTGGATAGCTACTTGGGTGAGCCACTGCAAGCTGATTGTACCTTTAAATCCACTGATGCTAGAGGGACCCCTTGAGGTGAAAGGTAAGGATCACACTGGGGAGACTGGGAGAGAAAAACAGACTTAGTGTATGGGATTACATTTCATCAAACATTCAGCCACAAGGGAAAATGGAAAATTCATGTAATATATGGATACAGTCACAATACCCATTTGATTCGCCTGTTCTATCTTTCCCACCAATCTTTCTCTCCTTTTTAAAGAAGGCCTTGTCACACATCTACCATTCTTCACGTACAAGCCTAGACAGGATGCTGGCAAGGTATGCAAAGATGAGGTGGTCTATATTTGTGCCAAAACATGCTTCACTAGTCATACGCAGACAAGTACTAGGAGGAAATGGGATAGTAATCAGGAACAGGAAATCTCAACAACATTCTCCTGCGACCTAAAAACTGAATCTAATCGTAGCTCCACTGGCCAAGATCAGCCAACTGTGCAGGCCAAGGCCTGAGCCTGACAGCTTTCTGATGTGCATGCCTGAACACCGTAAGGGAACTCACCCATCCTTTTTCAGCAAGCAGAAATTAAGTATTCTTTATAAGTCAATGAAAACCTCTCCATAACAGAAAATTTACTACTTAAATCACATTTCTCTGTCTCACTGAGTTTTCAGCCTGTTTACTTCTTGGTTTTACCAAGGGCATAATTAACTAAAATTTAAATCTTTGATTACTCATTTTATTAACTCCATGAATCAGCAGATGATCCTACTAAGCTCAATTTAATTAACTACACGAGACTGAGGGGCACGTTTGACAAAGGAAGATGCGTCATTTAGTAGCTTTCTCCTGTCCGAGTCAGTTATTGTCTACCTGCTTGCAAAGACTAGGCACCTTAGAGGCCATTTTGAACCTATATTCCTCATCTCCACTCTACTTAAAGTTGAGTCACATTGATCATTACCTGGCCAGATTCAAACCACATTTGTGCTATGTTAGACACCAATGGCTTTAACAGAGAAGTGGCAAAGGCTAACTTGCCACTCTCATCTGACAGCACAGTTGTAATGAAAGAAACTGCTGCTCTATTGGCAGATTCAATATTTAAAAAAAAACAATAACCCAAAGCTGCATGGATGATTCCGTTGGATGCCGTAGCATTTAAATAAGCAACATAAATGAGAAGATCCCTGATTAGTGTCCAAGTTAACTGCCACAGAGAAATTGTGAAAAACTCACGACTTCATATTCACAACCCCAGAATCTGAAATGCTGAGCTCATAACTGGAAGCCAAGCTGTCAAGTACTCAAACTACCATGATAAGCTCTCTTTAGAGTCAAATTTGTGGTTTTTCTACCTGTCTTTACATTAATGAAGTGATGTAGTATATTACTCAAATATCAAAGGCATTACTGTTACCAATCCCTCTCATATAGATATTGGGAGAGCAACCAGTGATAAAGAATTAAGCCAGCCACATAAATATGTAGCTATTTCAGCAGCGGAGAGGCCGAGTATTTTTGACAAATGGCAGGAAGAAGAAACAGGCTGCAATTATTTAAAATTGAGAAAGATTACAGAATTCAGAGGTACAGAGGGATTTGGGTGTGCTGGTGCATGAATCACAATGTCAGCATGCAGGTACAGTGGCTGACTGGAAAGGTAAATGGGGCATTGTTGTTTATCATAAGGGGAATGGATTATAAAAGTGGGACGTTTTGCTACAGTTGCACAGGGCTTTGGCAAGATCACATCAGAGTATGGCACACAGTTTTGACGTCCTTAAGAAAGGCATCAGAAGCAGTTCAGAAAAGGTTTACTCAACTAATTCATGAGAACAGGGTTAGTAGGAACTGCCGATGCTGGAGAATCTGAGATGACAACGTGTAGAGCTGGATGAACACAGCAGGCCAAGCAGCATCAGAGGAGCAGGAAAGCTGACGTTTCGGGTCTGGACCCTTCTTCAGAAATGAGGGTCCAGACCCGAAACATCAGCTTTCCTGCTCCTCTGATGCTGC